CCTAGTTCCTGCCTCCTGACTCTTCAGAACGAAACTCCTTCCTTAGAAATTAGAAGTAGGGTCGGGGAATCCAGACCACAGGGCATGGTGGCAGAATCTACCGTCTCCGCCCTGGCACAGAGTGTGGGGGGCGTGTGCCTGAGTGTCAAGGGGGATACCCCAGCCTCTTTTGGGAGGGTGCAGGGCTAAACCCACAGCCCCCTCTTCCTTTGCAAGCTCCTTACCAGGGACCCAGACGGGTGGCAACGATGCCCAGGGTGCCCAGCAGGCCCCAGACACCTGCCGATGAGCAGTGGAATGAGGGAGCTAATTTCAGAGGTGGCAAAAGCTATGAAGATGATCAAACCCTGGGATGGCAGGGCGACGGGGGGTTCACTTTGGTGGGGCGGGCAAAGAAGGGTTCTCTGAGGAGCTATCACTTGAGCCAAGACCAGAGGGAGGACGAGGCACATCCGTGAGAAAGCCGTGGAGGTGGCAGGAGCAGCCAGTGCAAAGGCCCTGGGGCATACACGAGTGACCCAGGGAGAGGCTGGGCGGGTGCGTGGAGCTGGCTCCATAAGGGTTGCCTGGGCCATCCTAGGGCCTTTGGATTTTATTCCAAGAGCTTCAGGTGGTCACTGGAAGATTGTAAGCAGAAGAATGATTTGATGGGGTTGGCATCCTTAAAAGTGCACTGAGACCTCCCCTACAGAGGATGGAGGGTGGGACTCAGGTGGAGAGGCCCAGATCCCTGATGTGGTTGAGGTTTGTTGCCCTCCCCTGGCATCGTGCCCCAGGACGAGGGCTGGGGCATTCCAGAGACACCTTCTGCTCCCCAGGTTTTCGGGGACAGGATGGAAGGGCTGGGGGTTAAAGGCAAAAGCAGGTTAATGATCCCAGAGTCAGGGAAGTCGGTCGTGACCTGAATCTAGGCTCCAAAGTTCAGCTCAGTTAACTTTCAACCTCCTGGGAGGCTCCCTGGCATTTCCGACAGTGTTCCTTCACGGCTGCAGGGGATCTCAGAGGACGAAAAGGGCAGGTGTTGTCCCAAGATCCCCCAGCAGCAGAGGGCCCTTTGGGGACCCCAAATCCCCAAATCCTTCCCTCCCCTAAATGTCTGAAGGTCTTGTGTGCACCCGACAAAGGCTCCTCAAATCCCAGGCTCCCTTTGGAATGCGAGACCAGCCCTGCTGCCCACCCATAGCCCCCGATGCAGGGCTTGGTCGGCCTCAGCAGCATCAGGCCAGGCAGGGGACAGAGCTCAGGTGGAACTGACACGGAGAGTGGGGGGACGGGTTGAGGGGATGACGGCGGAAGAAGCTGTTTGCTCCCCGTCTGCCGGGGGTGGAGAAGCTCTGTTTTTCTGGAACCCTCATCTGTTCTTACCACTGCTGACGCCGCCACCGCCGCGGATGGGGAGAGAGGGAGGGGGAGCCAGTGCCAAGTTGGCCCGCCCCTTGTGAACCTGGGCCTCTGCCACGCTCCCCCGCCCGCCCGCCCGCCCGCCGCGAGCCTCCGTCTGGAGGTCACATTCAGTCCTGCCGCGTCTCGCTGGGTCAGGCAGCAGGAAGATCAGAGCTGAGCCCGGCTGCGGGTGACACGGCTGCCCTGCTGGACCTGGGTCCTTGGATTTTGCCCGGCCCGGGGGTCTGTGGGCCCTGGCCGGCACTGCTCGCTGAGCATCCGCACTGGGCACATCGGTGCTGGAGGAGCTTGGCACGCGGCGCCCCAGCGATGTCTGGCCCAGGGGTGCCCCACACGCACCACTGACAAGTTCCCGCCACCCACCACCCTCGGGGAAGGGCACCTCGCGCGCCCACAGCGGCTTGGGGACAGCGTCAGAGGTGGCAGCAGCCGCTGGAGGAGCCCCGGGCCACCACAGGCAGGCGGGCTTGCAAGGAGCTGCCTCCCGCCCCTCTCGAGCCAGCCTCCGCCCGCCGCGTCCCTCCCTCCCTCGCTCCCTCCCTCCCTCCCTCCCTCACCGTGGGACGGAGAAGGATGTGAGGCTGAGCTGAGCCGCCAGCAGACGCCAGCCAGCAGCCTCGCAGAGCCGGCCGCGGCCGCCCAGCCTGCCGGCCCACTTCTCTGGGCCCGCTCCCCGGGGCATCTTCCCAGCCCTATGTTTCCGGAAAACTTGGCCGAGGGGGAGACGCGGATGAGAGGATGTGAGTGAGTGGTCCTGGGGAGGGGATGGGGGACTGCGGGTGCAGGGGCAGGGACCGCAACGTGGCCGTCTGGGATTTGAGGCTGGGCAGCTGGGGCAGCTGGGGAGTTGGAGTTCTGGGCCCTGGAGTGGATGGGGGTCCCAGCCCATCCTTTCCCCCGTGCCCCCTCCTCTCTCTCCCTGCTGGGCTGAGGCTCTCCTGGAAGCAGGGGTGGGACCTGGATCTGTGCCTGGGAAGGTCTGTGATGCTCTGTGCAGAGGGGGCTCTCCAGGTGGACGGGGGCTTCAGGCTGGGTCTGGCGGGGTGGGCTCCAAGGCATGGTGGGGTGGAAAGTCCTTCTCCCTGTGCCCGGCACCCTCTGCCTGGGCTTCCCAAAACACAAACCAGAGGAAGCCAGTGCCAGCCTGCCCCTACCCCGAGGCCCTGGCCGGCGCTAATGGAACACCCACTCTGGCCCCTCACAGGGCAGTTAAGGAAACTGAGGCCGGAGAGCAGAAGGGCTGACCGAGACTGCTGGCGAGCTCTGGCCAGGTGCCCGGGTGACTCTGCCCATTGCTCCTTTGGGAGCCGCATGTTTTCAGGAAGGACTGGGTGACCCCCATCCCCACCTCCATCCCCTCTCCCCTGCCCTCAACCCTCTCCCACTGCCCCCATGATTGGAGTTAATTAGGGTCCCCAACCCCCAGCCAGGCTCCTAGCCACCTCCTTATTTATTGACTGAGTTTGGAAATGTCAACCTCCCCAGCGTCGTCGGGCCACCCCCCCCCGGGCTCTCCATGCCCACCCAACCCGGCAGGCCCAGATGGGAGACCCGCCCTCTCCCACCCGGGTTCCGGGCCTGTGATCCCTCTGGCCCAGCATGTTTGCCTGGGCTGTCTTGGCCCCGGCTGGGGAAATATAAATAAACACACGGCCCCGTCCACCAGGTTCTGGAAGTGGCAGCTGCTGCTGGCGCGGGCGGAGGGAAAGGTCAGGGGCCGGGTGCCACTTGATCCCACGCCCCGGCCCTCCCCTTCTGCGCCTGTCCTTGAGGAACCCTGAGGAGCGGGCCGTGAGGCCACGTGGCTCCCAGGGCCACAGCGGGCGAGCAGGTGGCCTGTCAGTCAGTGCCACCCCCACGCCACGGGGGCCAGAGGACCCGGAGGGCAGGAAGTCTGGGGCCCCATGCCCGCGTTGCCCGCCTTGGCTGGTCCTCTAAGCTTAGGTGAGTTGGCGGGACCCTCTGAAATCTCCCCAGGAGATTTCCCCCTCCTGGGGATGGGAAAATGGTCACAGCCACGACAGCAAGGATGAGAAGGAACCAAGTCTTTGAAGGGCTTTGCAAACTCTGTGTGTCACTTAGCCATGCCATGGGCTGATGTGTTGATGTTTCTGCTGCTGTTATTTTATTTGCGTTAGAGCCTTGTGTGTAGCAGGCAGGCAGCCGGCACGTGGGTGGGTAGGTGGGTGGGTGGGTGGATGGATGAATGAAGGAAGGAAGGAAGGAAAGAGGGAGGGAAGGAAGGAAGGAAGGAAGGAATGAATGAAGGAATGAATGAAAATACCAACACAGACGGCTGCCCCTCGGCTCCACGACCCCTGAACCATTTTAGCTGGAGCTTGGCTTGCAGATTGATTTGATTCAAGGAAAATAGTCAAAAACTTCATTACGGGAAATCCTTCATTAAGTCCTTACAAGTATAGCTCCAGCTCAGGGAGGCTGCCAAGTCCCGAGCTACGTGATTCAGCCTTGGGGCCTGCTGCCCTGGAGAGGCACCCTCTTGCCGCACAACCCCCTAGGTCAGGAGCGCTCCCTGTGTCTCCCACAGCCCTGGGAAAGTGGGCAGGCCCTACCTGCACGGGCTGGCTGGGCCATACAAGGTCACGCCGCTGGAGACACGGGCATAAATATAGAGCTGCCTGGCCTGTGCCTGTGCCTGTGTGTGCCACAGCTCGCCGGGCAGATGGGCCGAGGCCGGGGGCTTGGCTTCCCAGGCGCTGCCTCCGGTGCAGCAGGGGCTGTGTTTCTGCTGAGCCTGGTGTTTGTGGCCTTGAAACTAGAACGTGGGGGGCGGCATGCCGCTCTGGCCTGAGACCTGGGGATGGAGGGAACTTTTTCTGCCAATTCCTGGAGGGTCTCTTCCCACAGCAGGAGGTCTGTGAGGCTGAGAGAACCTCCTGGTGGTGCGGGTTGGGGTTTGAGAGCAAATTCCAGCCGCCCAACCCGGCCTGGTGGGCCTTGAGTCCCGAGTGGGCCTTTAGGTGCCCTTAGGGAGTTTGGGCCCTGGAGGTGCCCCAGTTAACCTGGGCCCAGAGGCTCCTGGCCCCAGCTCACCCCCACCCTGACCTCCACCCTCCCATCCCCTGCTCACCACGTCCCTTCCTTTCCCTGGGCCGGTGTGGCCGGAAAACAACGGTCTCCCGAGGCCTCGCCTGCAGCTGTGAGCGAGTGTCAGGGCTGGGTCACGTCGCCGCCCTCCCGCCCAGCTTGGGGGAGGCAGGAGAGGTGGGGCCTGGGCAGAGGCTATGCATCCTGGACATTCACAGCCCTCCGCCCCCAGACTTCTGCGCGGTGGCTCAGTGGGGCTTCACCTGTCGCTTTTGGCTCCTCCAGCCCAGGCCTTTCCCATGCATCCTGGCCTGGAGTCAAGTGACTGAGAAACCAGACCCCAGAGGCCAGCCCTGCCACCCTCTAGTACCTTCCCCGCCAGGGGACACGTGGCCCATCGCTGTCTCTTCTTCCCGAGGTCCTGGGCCTGAGCAGGGAGCCCCAGGCTGGGTTTCTGCTCCAGGCCCGTTTGCCCCCCAGGCCATGTACACAGGCCCCTCTGCCTGCCGGGCCTGGCCGCCCCTCACTGCTCTCCTCTCCCGAGACAGGTCTCCTGGAACACGGCCGCAACTGGTCGGCCATCGCCCGGATGGTGGGCTCCAAGACCGTGTCACAGTGTAAGAACTTCTACTTCAACTACAAGAAGAGGCAGAACCTCGATGAGATCTTGCAGCAGCACAAGCTGAAGATGGTGAGTCCGCAGCCGCCTGCGCCGCGCCCCCGGGGGCTGGGAGAGGAGCTCAGGCTGCCTCAGGAGGTGTCTCTGCACCCCAGGAGGCGTGGGCCAGGGAGGGGCCGTTATGCCGCCTTGTTAGAACTCAGTTTCTGGGGGTTCAAGCCTGGGAGTGCCCCGAGATGGCTGCAGCCCGCAATGCTGCTGTGTGTCCCTGCCCTGGAGAAGGGCCAGGCCAGCTGCCCTCCACCCCCACCCTGACCCTGCTCCGCTCAGACAGACACCTCTGGGGGCCCTCAGCCCCAGCTCAGGGTGTGGGGGAAGGAGCGCGGTGGACCAGACTGACTCAGCCAGGAATTCAGGCTGTCAGCGCGTTGGAATGAGGACCCGGAGGCAAATGGGTCCTGAGCGAGCAGCTCCCCCGCCCCATTTGACCTCACAGCTTTAGGGCTGCTGTGGCCGGGGAGGGACAGGTCTAGGGGGCGGGGAGCGGACATCTCAGCCCCAACATCCTGGAGGGCTTGAGGCAGGTCCCGGGAGGCTGAGACCCTTCCCTCCTGCACAGAAGGTGCAGGCCCGCCTCGCCGCCTAATGGCCTCCAAGGAGCAGCCGCTTCTTCCACAGCTATTTCTGGGAATCAAGGAGCATTTTGAGGGAGACCTCTGCTGCCTTCCCTCTCTCCTTCACTACCTCTCTCCTTCCCTTCCTCCCTCCTTTCTCCCTCTTTGACATGCTTGCCAAGCATTTTAGAGCTGGGGAAACTGAGGCTTAGCCAGGCTCATCTGCAACTGAATTGGGATTTGTACCCACAGTTATGAGATCAGCACCCACGCTCTTCATCGCTAGGCTGCGTGTTTCCTCATCGATACAGAAGCACGAGGGAGGGTTTGCATAGCTCCCCTCTCCGCCTCCCCACCAAACCGTGACGTCGGGCTGCCTTGCGCCTGGGTGTAAAGTGTATGCAGTGTGTTCCAGACAGGCCATGCTGAATTGCTCCCTCCCTGCAACCTGCTGAGGCCCAGAGAGGGTGAGCAGGCTGTGAGGTCACACAGCCTGCAGTGGGAGGGCCAGGTATAGCCTCGCCCTGTTTGAACTCTGCCCAAGTACTGTGCAGAATTTAAGGACATCCTTCCACCCTCCCAAGTGGGTTCTTCGTGAGTCATGTGTGCGCGCGGCTGCTGGTGGCTCCGGGACCGAGGGGGCACAGTCCCACGGCCCTGTGGTCAGCGCTGAAATCCACCCTCTGGCCTCAGGGAGGCCCCTCCCCGTCACTTCCAGTTAAGCAGTGCCCCGCGTGCCCTCCACATCAGCCCCTGGGATTTGTCCCCAGAGCTCAGGGCTTCAGGCAGCGCCCTCCTCTTCTGGATGCTTCGGGCTTTCTGGTTGGGTGTAGAGGAAGGCACCGTGTCTGGCTGAATGTGCAGACCCCTGTTCCTAACACCTGCTGAGGTCCCTTATGGCAAAGAGGGCCCATGCCACAGCAGTCTGGGGGCGCAGCAGGGGTCCTGGGCCGGGGTCGGGGGATGTTGTGGGCCATCGATTCTGTCAGCCAGGTCAGGAGTCTGAAGTGGTCCATCCGGGATGACTCAGGGGCAGGGGTTTGGCCCTGAGCATCTCCCTAGGCACAAAAAGGGCCTCCTGGTTTCTCCCCAGCCTTCCTTTCTTTGTCTCTCTCTTCACCCCACCTCCTCCCCCTCCGGGGCCCCCTCCGCCTGTCCCCCTCACCCCATGACCACAGGCGCCTCCTCCCCTGCAGCCTGCTGCCACTCAGCCTGGCTTTCCAGGCTTCCACAGGGTGTGGCCCTGCTGTACCCCCAGAGACTCCAAAACCTGAGAGTGGCTTGGAGGACCAGAGACCCCAGCATGGTGAACCGTCCCATTAGGCCCAGGGCGAGACTGGGGGCAAGGCCCAGCTTGTGGATTTGGGCACCCCTGTGACCTTGGGCAGTGAATTCAGCCTTCTAAGCCTCAGTTTCCCCATCTGTAAAGTACGGGAATAACAGTTCTTATCCAAGAGGTCCTGTGAGGAGTGAACGAGTGATTACCTGTGAGGACCTTAGTGCCTGCCAGAGGGGCAATGCTCTGGGAAGGCGACCTGCCCTAGTTACTCTTACTGCTGTGGTCATTATTATTTTATCTTGACGCCATCTACCCCCTTCTCAGGGCTGCCTGAGACCCCCTCCTTTTTTTTTTTTTTTTTTGAGTTGGAAGGTTTTATTAGACTAGGAGATTTGTGGGAGATATGAGCACTGGGCCAAGGTGGCATGGGCCATGCTCAAGGCACCCTGTCATGTGTAGTAACCACCAATGAAGCTGCTGGCATGGACAAACATGCAGCCAGCGATCCCACTGATGAGGGCCCTTCTTGAATGGTGTGTGCAGGCACAGCCACAGTGTGCTATGGGTTGGGAGCAGGGACTGGGCCCAGGAGACCTGAGTTTGAATGTAGGCTCTGCCACCTACTAGCTGTGTGGCCTTGGGGAAGTGACCAATGCTCTCTGCACCTCAGTTTCCCCATCTGTGAAATGGGGACAATAATGAAACCCACCTCAAAGGGCTGTTGTGGGAATGCACTGGGTGGCTGCCTACAGAGTGCTTGGAACGCGGCCTAGTGTGCCCCAGGCACTCTGCTAGTGAGAGCTGTGATAGTGCTGATGGTGATGCGCTCACGACTGATTGATTGATTCATCCATTCATTCAGAGAGGCACTCCAGAAGGATGGTGCAAAGCAGGGCTTTGGAGCTGGTGGCTTCGCACCCTAGCTCTGCTGCTTAGTGACCGGGTCAAAGGATACTGGGCTTCACTTCACCTCTCTGTGCCTCAGTTTCCACCTCTGTAAAATGGGGCTAAGAATGGGACCCAGGCATAGGGCTGTTGAAGAACAAGTGTGTTTCTTTTTGTAAAGGGTAGTGCCTGTTCCTTGGTCAGCCCTCAATAAGCATCCAGTATTATTCTCACTGTCCATTCAGCAACCCCTTATTGAGCACCTGCTGTATCCCAGGGAAGCGATGGCAGGTGCCCTGAGGGCAGAGGCATGGATGGGGTTTTCCTGCTGGGCTGAGAAGCTGACATTTAGTGGACCATGGAGGGAGTGGAGGCTACATGGAAGGATTCTGAGCTGAGGCACAGCCCCCATCCAGGGCTGGACTCAGGTTGGGTTGTCCTAGTGTCGATGAGAGTGATTCTGATCTGAATGACACAGCTGATAAAGAAGGTGGCCCTTCTGTCCCCTGATGCTGAAGACTCCGGAGACGTGGGCAGGAGGGGACCCTGAGAACCAGGTTGGGACCTGGATGAGAATGAGTGATTCGGGAGTGTGCGGTTGGTTCTCGCTCCTGGCCCACCTCGAAGGAGCACCCTCATATCGAGGGCTGCAGCGAAAGCAGAGCAGATGCAGGGACCCATCATAGGGAGCGGGGCTCAGGCCAGGCCAGCCGTCTTGACAGTGGCCGCTCTTGCTGCAGTGGTGAGCTTCCCATCGCTGCAGTATACAAGCGGGTCTCACCCGGAGAGATGCCGCTGAACCTGGTGACCTCCGCCTCCTGCCCCTCCCCTGTGCCTTTCAGTCCCAGGGAGGAAGGCACATCCCAGTGAATCCTGACACAGTAACAGCCACCTCTGGCTGCTGGCCCAACCCTGTCTGGAGTACAGGAAGACATGTCACCCTTGGCCAGAGAAGGAAGGAGTGGGGAAGCAGAGGGTCAGTGGGTATCCCCTCCTGCCTTGCACCAGGCCTGGCCTGAGTGTGGCCACAGGCGACGTCAGCAGGAAGCAGGATCCGGTGGGCGGGCGGGCGGGCGGGGCATGTCCCAGAGTTATGTAACACTTGGCCTCAGTGTCTTTTGCGAGGTTTCCCTCCCCCTCCTTATGGCCGAAGGTTACCCTTTTCTCCCATCTGTGAATGCAGGCCCCTCGGGCTCAGCTTCCATGTTCCTCAGTCTCTGTCCTCCTCAGCCTTGGCCCGGCCCCGCCTTGTTTTCTGCTGTTAATCTCTTCTACCTGAGGCTGCACAGGCCTACAGAGAGATGGTCCGGCCAGGAAATGTTTGAACCTGGCCGGCATTCAAATCTGGGTTCCTCGACTCACGAGCTGTGTGGTCTTGTGCATGTGTCTGCCTCTCTGAGCCACTGTCCCTGTCTATCAGGTTCATTCATCTAAAGACGTAGTTACAGAGCATCTGTTCTGTGCCAGACACTGTTCCAGGTATGGTGGGAATATAGCAGAGAACAAAGATCCCAGCCCTTGAGGAACTGGTGCGAGAGACAGGTTCGCACACTCAATTTCGGAATGGAGTCTGATGATGCTATGAGAGGAATGTAGTAGAAAATGATTGATGGTGGAGGTGGGAGGGATGAGCTAATGATGGAGTGATCAGGGAAGACCTCTCTGATGTCTGAGCTAAGGCCCGAAGGAGGTGAGGAAGTGAGTTATGCAGATATCTGGGGCAAGGGTGTCCAGGCAGAGGGACAGCCGGTGCAGAGGCCCTCTGGCTAGGAGGGCAATGTGTTTGTAGCACAGTCCCTGACGAGGGAAGAGGGGAGAGCAGCTTGGAGAGGCAGGCGGGGTCCAGGACTGGATCACACAGGGCCATGTGGATGGACGGAGGACTTGGGAATTTTATCCAGGTGTTGGAGAGTCTGAAGCAGGGGGTGACATGCCCTGATATGCAGAGCGGCTGTGCAGATCCGATAAATTAATACCAGAAACCGCTTGGCGCATAGTAGGTGCTTAGTAAACATCAGCCGTAATGACCGATGCCATCACCAGCATCTCGTATTCCGCACACACCAGATCCCACAGTGCTGGACCATGTGTGTAAGGATTAACTGTAACTCCTGGGACTCTCCCTGAGACCCACCCTTGTGGGGATTCAGGGTGTTGGCACCATCCTGGTCCGCTGCCTCAGAGGCCCCACCCTGCCCCCCACAGAGAGACCTTGCTCTCCAGGATGGTGGGCGCCACGAGCAGGCCAACAGGAGACCCCTGTTCCCTGCGAGACTCTGAGTATCTCCCATGTCCCAGCCACTGCCCGGGCAGCTCAAGGCACCCAGCCCTGAGTCTTTCCTGAGCCTCTGTCTGCCAAAAATAGATTCGGGAAGCAGGGGCAGCCCTCGGCCGCAGCCGCAGAACCCACATGCCACCACTTTCTCAGGCCGCCACAGGCTCGAACTCTCCTGGGAGAGGCTCAGGGTTCGGGGCAGGGCTGGGACTGGGCCCAGGACATGTGCGGGGTTGCAGAGCTGGGCATCCCCGTGGGCCCTGTGGGCACTGGCAGGGGCAGGGCTGTGGCCCTCCAGCCGACTGTTGGTGACGGAAACTGTGACTAACGGACGAGCAGACGTTTCCCTTTTCCTCCCTGCGTTCCAAGCGGCTGTGCTCAGAGGAACCCTGTTTGCTCAGGAAGAAGGCAGGACAGGAAGTGATCCCATTCCCTGCCTGTGGCTGGGGCTTGGAGCCTGAGAACCCTTCTCCTCCCCTTCATGAGGCCCAGCTCCAGCCTGGCCATGGTGAAGGGCCGGGGTGGGCAGGGCCCACCTGGCATTTGCCCGAGAGCAGGCTGTGTGGTCTGGATGTCAGGCAGCTTTTTCTTGGAATCTGGGCGCACCAGTGCAGAGGGATGTGTAATTCCCTGTGGCTGCCGCAAGGAAGTACCACAGACCGGTACAAACAACAGAGATGTATTCTCTTCCAATTCTGGAGGCCAGACGTCTGGAACCAGTGTCCGCAGGGTTGTGCTCACGTTCAAGGCTGCAGGGGAGCCTCTTGCATCTTCCAGTGACTGCTGGCAGTTCATGACATTCCTTGGCTTGTAGCTGCATCCCTCCACATGTGTCTCGGCTGCCACAAGGTCTTCATGTCCCTGAATCCGTATTTCCCTCTTCTTCCACGACTGTCAGTCCTGTTGGATTTAGGGCCCACCCCACTCCAGTGTGGCAACATCTTAACTAATGACATCTGCAGGATCCCGTTTGTAAGTAAGGTCACGGTCTGAGGTTCTGGGTTGATGTGAACTTTGGGGGACACCATTCAACACAATACAGGGCTCTTGGCTGAGAGCTGCGGGTACCTCCAGGTGTGGCGAGGGGCCTGCCTCTTTCTCAGCAACCCCAGAGGGATCAGGCTGCTGCCGCTCCTGTCACACCAGGCTGTGGTGGGCACCCCCCAGTGTCTTTCCAGTCCCCCTGGGAGTCCCCAGTCACTTCGAGATGCTGCCTCCACGATGCCCCTGCTCTCAGCTGTCTGTGCGTTGAAGCCCACGAAGGCTGGCCTTTCACAGTTGCTCAGCAAGTCAGTCAACAAACACTTTCAGAGTCTCTGCCTGGCTCACCATGGGGACAAAGAAACACCCACCCCTGTGAGCCACAAAGATGAGCGGTTTGATGACGGTGCCTAAGTTGGGGAAGAAGGGTGGGCTCTGTGAGTGAGGAGCTGGGGTTCCCAGGAGCAGGGAAAGTGGAGGCCCCACGATGTGGGCTTCTTTCCATTCCGGGACACACCCGGAATGTTCCCCCGACGGAGGCCTTTGCACCTGTGACTCCCTGCACCTGCCACTCTCATCCAGAGCCTGGCTGGCCCCTTCCCTCCGCCGTCAAATCTTGGCTCAAATGTCACTTCCTTGCAGAAGCCCTTCCGGACTGTTCTGTCCAGAGGAGCACCTGCCCTTGTGCTCTTTGTCCCACCTCATTTCACCTGTGCAACCCTCTGAGTGGTGCTTCTGTGTGAAGAGCACATTGCTGGTCTCCCCAGCGGCAGGGCAGCCTCCGAGGGTCTACCCCTTGTCTACCCCGTGCGTTGTGTCCCCACAGCCCTGGTGTGCAGAACCGGGCACACAGTAGGTGTTCTGTAAAAATTCAGGAAGTGAAATGCGAGCTTCCCGGCTGGCCTGTCCCCTGGGGACGAGTGAGACTTGCATAGCAAGGAGAAGCTTCTGTATTCATTCACTCCACATGTGCCGATGAAGCTGACAGGGTGTCCCCAGGAGGCGTGGTCACTCTGGCTAGGAGAGTCCTGGGCAGTGTCAGACAGGTTATCTCACGCTCAGGAAGGATATCAAGGTGGCGGGGGCCGCCTGTACCCAGAGTGTATCTGGGGCTCAATGGAAGAATAAAGGCCCCGGTAAAAATAACCCCTGGCACGCTTGGTTGCCGAGGTGGGGTGTGAGGGGGATGGTCACCCTCATTGCCACACGGCCAGGATCACTGCCCTTTGCACCTGTGGTGAGGCCCCAGGCATGGGGAGTCCCCAAGCTGACAACCCAGGCCCCAGGCCCCAGCCCTGATCTGCTGCTTCCCTGTGCCCAGGAGAAGGAGAGGAACGCGCGGAGGAAGAAGAAGAAAGCCCCGGCGGCGGCCAGCGAGGAGACCGCGTTCCCGCCCGTGGTGGAGGATGAGGAGATGGAGGCGTCGGGCGTGAGCGGAAACGAGGAGGAGATGGTGGAGGAGGCCGAAGGTGAGGGCTGGCGCAGCTTGGCGGTGGCTGGCCGCTGTGGGTCCAGGCTCTGAGGGAGGGCATGGTGGGAACTGACCCCGGCAGCGTCCTCTCCCCTGAGTCATCTGGGTCCTTCTTAGAAGGGGCTTCGACTCCCTGGAATGGGAGGGCCTGACTTGCCAGAAACTCACCAGTAATGGGCACAAGATTGATGGCCACAGCAATACCGAGAATAATCAGCTTCTCTGGGAGCCCTAAGCCTCACTCAGCCCTTCTGATGCCCATGAGTTCAGTCTTATGCTTGGGTAACCGGATGTCCAGGCCAGTCCTGTGGGTGCCTGCTGTCTTTCACCCCATCTGGTGTCACAGTTTAGAAAAGAATTTACTTTGGAAAATAGTTTTGTTTGTTCGTTTTGTTTTTTTTCAGACGGAGTCTTGCTCTGTCGCCCAGGCTGGAGTGCAGTGGCGTGATCTCGGCTCACTGTAACCTCTGCCTCCCGGGTTCAAGCAATTCTCCTGCCTCAGCCTCCTGAGTAGCTGGGATTACAGGCACCCGCCACCACACCTGGCTAATTTTTGTATTTTTAGTAGAGATGGGGTTTCGCCATGTTGGTCAGGCTGGTCAGGCTGGTCTCAAACTCCTGACCTCAGGTGATCTGCCCGCCTTGGCCTCCCAAAGTGCTGGGATTACAGGTGTGACCCACCACACCAGGCCTGAAAATTGTTTTTTGACCAGAACTCTTTTACAAGGTAACCGGTATAAATAGAACCTATCTGTCAGTCGGGTAGTATTGTAAACGTTATATAGTTATTTTTAGTGCCTCCTTTTACTCCCAAGTGTCTCTATTTGGGTGATAAATAATTCGGTCCCCTTCTTTGGTGTCCCTGTTTTCTGTATGGGGAAACTGAGGCTCGGGCACTTAAAGGTCTGGGCCCAGGTGCCCCAGGTACCACAGAGTGTGTTGTTCTACCAGCTGTAGACTAGACAGATGCCCCACCAGGTGAGTGCTGCTGAAGAGAGGGCGTAAAGCCATCATGTGCGTGGTGCTGGCAGGTCTCCCTGGTCCCCTCAAATGGAGGACTGTGACCACATGAGCTGTGTGTTATCCAGGGCTCCGGATAACACATGGCTCAATTTTGTTATCAGTGTTTATAGACCCGGGAACTGAACACGGGCTGCCCACACCTGGCCCCATACTCTTGGTCACGAGTTCATCCACCTTCGACCCCCTGTGGCTCTTTTTCTGTGTAAAAGAAGAAGTTGGGGGTCTAGACCGTTCCCACTGTGACGTGACCAAAACCCCCGGGAGGACCCCAGCCCTTCTCGGTTGAGTGTCCCTGACTCTCTGAAGGAGACACGAGCAGCCCAGCGGAGCCCAAGTCCTTGGTGAATTCAGCCCTCCTTCCTCCTGCCCCGTCAGGAGTCCTTCTGTTGTTCCCGTCCTCCCTCCCTCTCTGCCTTTGAATGCACCGGCTCCTCCCTGGCAGAAGGTGCAAGTCACCTCCTGGTTCTATAAGCCCGGCCTGCAGATAAATCCAGGCTCCTCCAACCTGCAGTGTTTCACCAGCCCGAATCCCAGCTCCTGGCTGGGAATGCGCAACTGGGCCCTTGGGTGACTGTCATCTCACGCTGGGGGTGGGGCAGAGGCCCTGAGTCAGGCCTCCCCACCAGCTTTGGGTCTCTCTGACCTAAGTTGGCCAAAAGCCTGGCCAGTGTCTGACAGAAGGAAGGCCGGGGCCGCGAGTCCCTTGGGTCATCCCATTTTGGGTTCTGGGTCTGTAGCCAGGACAAGAGAAGACCCCGGGTACAGAAACCCAGTCCCCTCTGTAAATATCCCTCCAGCTGTCTGAATGGGCAGGATGCAGGCTTGGTGGGAGCATTGTAAGAAGCCAAGCTTTGGCCACACGTTAAAACCGGAGCAGACACTGCCCAGAACTGTGTGGTCATGACCCCCGCCTCGCTTGCAGGGCTTACAAAGCCCAGTAGAGATGGGGAGAGGCGTGCTCTGCTGGGTGGGGGAGGAGGGAGGGCTGAGCTGGCTGGAGCTGAGGCTTTTGTGACGACGTGGTGGTCTTCTGTGGCCACTCTGAGAGATCGGGGACAGAGATCAGAGGCCCTGATTAAGCCTTCTGGTGCCCAGGGTATTACCCCGTCTTAAGGATGAGGAGACTGAGGCTGGGGGAAAGGAGAACCCGTCCCATGGGGAGTCCTGGCACATAGCTGGTAGGCTCGGGGTCTGCCGGCCCAGCCAGCGCATACCGCGTGACCTGTCTTTTGTGCTCAGGATGGGGAGGTGAGGCAGGTGCTGGGTTGGAGCCTGAGGCTGCCCTGCCGGAATCTCCCCGGAGACCCAGCCAGCCCCAGCAGCACTGCAGGCCCCTCCCCAGGGGCGGTGGAAAGGACCTTGTTGATCTGGGCTGGAAGTATACCAGCGCAGGGCTGGGAGGGATCCCCTGGCCCAGTGGTTTCTCTGGTAATAATAATCCTCATAGTGGATGAAGCAGGTGCTACTGTTCTCCCCATTTTACGGGTGGGGAGACTGAGGCATAGTGGGGTTATCCAAGGCCCTGCCTTGTATATTCAAACCCAGGCAACCTGGTACTGGGCACCTCCGGGCAGAAAGGAAAGGAGGCCATCTGGTGGTGTCTTTATTTTTTATTTTTGGTGGGTTTTTTTTGTTGCTCTTGTTAGGCACCTACTGTGTGTCAGGCGCTGCACAAAGCACTTCACCTGGATTCTAGGGCAGCGGTGGCAGGGTGTTCCCTGGGATTTGTTAGAAGTGCTGATTCTCGGGCCCCAGTCCACACGTACCGAATCAGAAACCTTCAGGGCATGGCGCAGCCACCTGCATCGTCACAAGCCCTTGGGGTGCTTCTCACGCAGGCTCCTGCCCCAGACCCTCTTGATAACCATGAGAGCGAGGCATTAACTGCCCATTTTGTAGATGAACAAACTGAGACCCAGAGGTTTCATCCCTGGTCCTGGGGCCCTCAACGTTGGCCTCCCAACGTCCCGTACTCTGACTGTGGAAGGAAGGGAATGACATTGCTGAAGTCACCAGGCAGAGGAAGGCCAGGGGTTGGAGATGCAGGAAGCTGGGCTCAGTGCTCTCCCCTCCACAGCGTGGCCTTGGGCAAGCTGATTAACCTGTCCACCTCCATTTCCTCATCTGTACATGAGAGATGATGGTCCCGGTGTTAGAGGTCTTAAAGGAGTCATGTGTGAGGAACTCGGCACGGAGCCTGGCCTGCACGCACGCAGCCTGCGTTGCTGTCGTTGCTATTGTTTCTAAAAGAGGTGGCCTCTGCTCTGGGGCCTGAAGGGAGGCAAGAAGCAGGAGAGACTGGGGGATTGGTGGGGGGCAATGATGGCTGAAGAGGTCTCAGCAGACCCAAAAGCTTCTCCCTGCAACCTTGCCCACCCCTGAGGTCAGCACCTCCCACCCCAAGGCATCCTGGGAGCCTGATGACTTAGGGCAAGGACACCCAGAGTGGCTGAAGCTCACTTTTCACCCTGACCAACCCCATTATTGGCTGGCCTTGAACAGGCCACTGGACCAGCCTGCACAGGGCTATTGCAGGTCACCTGTGGCCACTGGCCAGAGCCTGGAGGGAGAGGGCTCATCGGTCCAAGGTGAAGGGCAGTCGGGGCAGGAGAGCGAGCAGCAGCGAGGTCTCACTGCTGTGCACCAGGCTCCAGGCCCCTCTTGGCCACGTTGCCTCCTCCCTCACCTCCCACTACCTGGTGCCGCCTGGCTTCTAACTCTTCTCTGACTTCCTTCCAGCCTTACATGCCTCTGGGAATGAGGTGCCCAGAGGGGAATGCAGTGGCCCAGGTACGAATGTGGCCGGCTGGCCTGGGGGGTAGGGCTGGGCCGGGGTGGGCATCCCGAGGTCCCCGGTCCTCCACAAGGAACCCTGCTTCTGGGCACATGCTCTTTCTGTGAGCACCACCGTTTGTGTTCCGTGGCCTCTGGGCTTCCTTTCCAGCAAAGTGGCTGTTCCCCGTGCTGGTCCCGGGTTCACTCCAGCAGACCAGTTTCCCGTCTCCACTGCTTCATTGATTTTCACTGGCACACTTGGGTCTGCCACCAGGTTTGATTTCCCTGATAGCAAATGCAGGGGTTTTCAAGTATCCCCATTTTACAGAAAATGGGAACACTGAGACCCAAAGAAGAACCTGGTGTAGGTTTGGGGGCTAGAGAGCCAGGACTGCGGCTGGGGTCTCCTCGCCATCCTTGGGTACATGCTTTCCTCCTGCCACTCCGTCAACACAGGCCACTCTCCTGCTGCGTAAAACCCATGCCAAGGCCGTTGGTGTGGGCTGTGCCCCGGGGGCCCTGTGCACGCACTGGCCTCATTGTCCACTGTGCCCGGGCACCTGAGCATGCACTGGCCTCATTGTCCACTGTGCCCGGGCCCCTGTGCACGCACTGGCCTCATTGTCCACTGTGCCCGGGCCCCTGTGCACGCACTGGCCTCATTGTCCACTGTGCCCGGGCACCTGAGCATGCACTGGCCTCATTGTCCACTGGGGCCCCTGTGCACGCACTGGCCTCATTGTCCACTGTGCCCGGGCCCCTGTGCACGCACTGGCCTCATTGTCCACTGTGCCCGGGCCCCTGTGCATGCACTGGCCTCATTGTCCACTGTGCCCGGGCACCTGAGCATGCACTGGCCTCATTGTCCACTGTACCCGGGGCCCTGTGCACGCACTGGCCTCATTGTCCACTGTGCCCAGGGCCCCTGCACACACACTTGCCCCTTCTGCACTGTCATGTGATGATGATGGTGGCGATGATGGTGCCGCATCAGGCAGTCACCAGGCAACTGCCCTTGCCATCACAATCGCCGGCTTCTCTGCCCTGTGAGATGGGAACTGTTGTTCTCCCATTCTACAGATGGGAAAACTGAGGCCTAAGAGGTAACCTGAGTTTCCCATGGCACACAGCCAGTGCGGGGCAGAGCTGGGGTTAGAGCTCAGATGAGAACACGGAGACCCCCCAGAACGAAGGCCTTTGCCCATGCCCGCCGTCAGGCTGGCTCCATCTGTCGGGGGTGCTGACCACCAGGAGGTCCTGGGGTTGGGAATTAACCAGGTTATGCCAGCAGGGTCAGTTCGGGAGAAAGGCGGCCAGGGGAGGGCAGCAGCTGTGGGTAGAGGCCTGGCCAGGGGCTTTGTCTCAGGGGTGGGGCTCCAGGCAGGGGCCCAGGTGTATAGGAGCCTCAGGGCTGTTTTGGTGTCAGGCAACAGAACGGCCTCATCCCGAGGGTCAGGGCCACGCATCTCTCCTGGAGTCCCCCCAGACCCCGCTCATCCCCTCTTCCTTCTTGCCCCGCACAGCCACTGTCAACAACAGCTCAGACACCGAGAGCATCCCCTCCCCTCGCACTGAGGCCGCCAAGGACACAGGGCAGAATGGGCCCCAGCCCCCAGCCACCCTGAGCACCGATGGGCCACCCCCGGAGCCACCCACCCCGCCGCCGGAGGACATCCCGGCCCCCACTGAGCCCACCCCCGCCTCTGAAGCCACCGGACCCCCTACGCCCCCACCAGCACCCCCATCGCCTTCTGTACCCCCTCCTGTGGTCCCCAAGGAGGAGAAGGAGGAGGAGGCCGCAGCGGTGCCCCCAGTGGAGGAGGGGGAGGAGCAGAAGCCCCCCGCGGCTGAGGAGCTGGCAGTGGACACAGGGAAGGCCGAGGAGCCCATCAAGAGCGAGTGCACGGAGCAAGCCGAGGAGGGGCCGGCCAAGGGCAAGGATGCGGAGGCCTCTGAGGCCACGGCCGAGGGAGCACTCAAGGCAGAGAAGAAGGAGGGCGGGAGCGGCAGGGCCACCACAGCCAAGGGCTCGGGCGCCCCCCAGGACAGCGACTCCAGTGCCACCTGCAGTGCAGATGAGGTGGATGAGCCTGAGGGCAGCGACAAGAACCGGTGAGTGGGCGCCAGGCAGCCCTAACCTTGGCTTTTGTCTGCAGACACTGAGCGGCAACTACCTACTTAGACAGCCGCACCTGGTGTGGCTCTGCCTGCTTTGGGGGAGCCCGAGGTGTGGTTAGGGAGGCAGACTCGGAGTAGAGTCCAGGAATGGGAGATGCAGGCTGGGAGGGGGCAGAGGTGTGGCCGGGAGCATCTCCCCAGGAGGTGACATCCAAGCTGAGACCCGGACGGAGGAGGCAGCCCTGGGCAGCACTAGGGAGAGAGTGTGCCAGGCAGCCTGCTCGCTTCCTAGGGCCGCCCTTACAAGGTAGCTCAAGCCAGGTGGCTTGAAACAAATACAGTCCTGGAGACCAGGAGCTCGGGGGCACCATGAGGCCGGGCCACACCCTCTGAGCCTCTTGGCAGATCAATCCCGCCTCTTCCAGCTCCTGGCTGCTGCTGGCAGTCGTGGTTGCCAGCACACTACTCCGTCTTTGCCTCTGCCGTCGCATGACCTTTGCCCTGTGCATCTCTATGTCCACATTTTCTTCTTCTGAGGGCAGCAGGCATTGGATGAGCAGCTGCCCTAATCTAGTCCAGCTTTATCTTAACTTGATTATATCAGCAAACAGCCTGTTTCCAAATAAGGTTACATTCACAGAGACCCTGGGTTGGGACTTGAACGTACCTTCTTTCGGGGGGACACAGTTCTACCCTCAACGTGGTGGGAACAGCAAGTGTGAAGGCCCGAGGTGGGAATGAGCTTGGTGGATTCAGGTGTCGAAGGGTGGAGCGAGTGGCTCAGGGAGGGGGGCAGTCTTGCAGAATGGGGAGCAGCTCTCACAGGGTTGGGGGCACTGAGTCGCACCCTGGCAGGTGAGGGCTGCATTTCTTCTCAGGGCAGTGAGAAGGCCTTTGCGAGCCTCTCCCAAGAGAGCCAGATGTGATTTACCCATGAAACCATGTGGGGGATTTGCTGGGAGTGAGAGGCACAGTCAGGAGGCAGCTGCAGGTGCCCTGGGGCCGGGGATGGAGAGGCGAGTGTGGTGGCCATGGTGATGGGGAAAAACCACAGATTCAACATGTTTTTGGTGGTTCATCTCCTATCAGCCAAGGGTCCAGGGCTCGGGATCACAGGTGATCACCTTGGATCACCTTGGATCACAGGTGCAGCGGTTCCCCTTGCAAAAACCTCTCCAGCTGGGGTAGCCTGGAGGACCCCAGTGCCGTCCTGTTTGGGTGCCAATGTCTCTGATGTGTATTCTTTCCTTTCTGGCCTCTGTCTTTGCTCCTGGCCTGGGTGACCCCACATCCCTGAGAATGCCGCCTTTTACCCATTTTCAGCACAGATGCTTTGGGCCTCAAGGCCTCCAGCCCAGAACCAAAAACGGCTACCCGAATTAGGGCCGATCTTGGGTGGCAGAGGGCAGACCCGCAGAGACTATGTCCCGCTCGTGTCTGGATGGCTGGAGGAATTGTTTTCTGGTGGGGCAGGCGGGCCATTTTATTTTGACTGCACTGTGGTCTGTTTCCTCCCCTCCCAAGTCCCTTGGAATGGTCCTGGGCAGAGCGAGCGAGGGAGGAAAATCGGACCCGCAGGGTCATGTGGGGCCCTTGTCTCTGCTCTGGGGTTCACCCTGGGCCATGTTAAAGGGGGAAGTCCTAGGACATTCCCTAGGAACTGAGGTTCACCCAGATCTCTACAGGTTCCACAAAACAAAATCTCAGGGTCCCCGGGAACCGCTGCTGACAGGAACCACGCCCATGTGTGTAAGAAGTGGATGACCTGACCCTGAGCCTGTACTGAGCAAAGGCTTGGCCAGCGGGATTCTGAGGGCACCGAACTCCCCAGCTTCTTGCCCGACAGTCCCAGCTTGGAAAACAGTGCTCACAGTGCGGCTGGGTCTGCCCTAGAGGCAGGCAGCCAGGACCTTTGTGCCTGGGAAGCGGGGTCAGGGCGGGACTCCCTATCCCGCTCCCACTGGCTGTGGGGACAGTCATGGAAACACATGTTTCTGCCTTCCAGGGGGAAGCGCTGAGGTCATGGGGCAGCCCCACTGATAAGCTGCCTCTTAGAGTCTGTGTTTTGGGTACATGTGGCTGGCCCCGGGCTGGGGAGTCGGGGGATCAGCTTGCTTCCTGTCCGTCCCCAGAACACTCAGACTGGGCCTGAGGCCCCGCAGGGCACTTGCAGCCTCCCGTCCTCTCCCCTGCAACCCCACCCAGGGCGGTGTCCTCCCTCCCCCAGCTGGGCCTGGCGTGCGTCCACCCCTTGCCCAATGTCCAGCACACAGCCCCCGGGGTGCAGGAGTCCTCGGCTGGGAGTCACGACACCTGGTTTGTCCCGCCCTGTGCGACTGGGCCCAGGCCCCTGCCCTTGGGGCCTGCCTTGCCCTCGCAGCGCATGAGGCTGGACTCTGGCCAGCCTGCTGACCTCGTCCTGGCCGGCAGCCTGCCACCCCTCCCTGTGCCGGCCACGACTGCGCAGGGCCGGGCGGCGCTGGAGGACGCCGACGAGATGCGTCAGAGTAGGCCCCGGCAGCCAGGGCCTCCCGGGAAGGGCTGGCGGGACGGGGCAGGCCCCCCAGGCGACCCCTGCTCCTGGCTGCCTGCCCAGTACCGTCCCTCCCGCCTGGCAGCCCCAGTCGGGGAGCTCTGCGTTCCTGGATGGATGCAAGATGACTCTCGTCTGGGCCCTCCCGGGTGACTTTGGGAGAAAGAAAATCACGTGCTCCTCGCCCGCGGGCACTGTGTGTCGAGGCGGCTCTGCTCCTCGGGCCATGCGCGCACGTGTTGTCCCGAGGCGGCTCTGCTCCTCGGGGCCGCGGCACTGTTGTCGAGGCCGGCTCTGCTCCTCGGGCCCGCGGCACTGTGTGTCGAGGCGGGCTTGCTCCTCGGGCCGCGGGCACCTGTTGTCGGAGGCGGCTCTGCCTGGGTGTTTTCTTGGCAGATAACCAGAGATAGTGGCTTTGATTGCAAAACCCCAAGCCTGCCCGCCCCTCTCTTACTCTTCAGAGAAGGTGTCTGGGTGCTTTTTGGCAGGGCCTGACCTTGTGAGTCCCCTCCCCCAAACCTCAGTTTTCTGTCTGTAAGGTGGGTGTGGATGGCTTATCTCAAGAATAACTCAGTGAATGCTGGGCCACAGTGGGTGCTCAGTGAGAGATTAGCTGCCCTCCTTTGGATCTGCTTTGGGACACCCCCCAAGAGGTCACCCCAAGAGAGGGCTGGAGTGCAGCTCCTTCAGCTGTCCCTCTGGCATTTTGGAAGATCATAACAGCAGTTGCACCTTTGTTACTTTATTCTGCAAGTGACTGATGGCAGCAGTGTGCACCAGGCACCAGGGGTGCTGGAAACTGCGCAGACGAGGCCCTGACTTCGGGCACTTACATTCTAGTGAGGGCGTGGAGAAGGAAACCATTGTTTATGGGATAAGTGGGTGATGGGAAGATGGGGCATGGGGAGCGGGGGAGAGTGGGCTGGTCAGGCGGGGAGGGCCTCTGGGGAAGTGACATTGGAGGGCAATGAGAGCCTTAGTGTGAGGGACAGCCATACCCCCGGGAACCACCAGTGCAAAGGCCCTGTGGCCGCATGAGCGTATGTCCAGTGGACAGCAGAGAGGCCTATAGCAGGGAGTAGAGTGGAGTGAGCAGCCCCGGGAAGAGAGTGCGGAGAAGTCAGAGAGGTGGGCAGGCCCCATGGGTGGGAGTGACGCGTCAGGGTTTTATCTTGGGGCCTTGGAGAGGCAAGGGATGCCTGTTCACAAACCAGCCCTCCCTCTCCCTCCCAGCCCTAGGGTGGTGGCAAGGATTATCCCAGCTTGATGACCATGGGGAAACTGAGGCAAGGGCTGGGTGGAGAGGGGACGTACTGTTGCAGGCCCAGCATGTTCCTGATGAATGTCCCCAGGCCCTTGTTCCCCTTCTCGTGCCCACCCCCTTCTCCCACCCTGGCCTTCCTGAGTGGGAAGGAAAATGACAGTGAGGAGAAGGTGGCCCGACCCACTGGGCCCCACGTGCTAGTCACCAGCGTCCCCACGCCCACCCACGGACAGCCCTTGAAGCTCTCGTCTCCACTCTCCAGATTGAGAAACCGAGGCACAATTGGCTAAGTCTTACGGTCAAAGAGGGGATCCGAGCTTTTGCTCGCAACTGCCAGGTTGGGTAGGCAGGACAGGGCCACTCCCGGACACATGCTCCGTGCCAGACCCTGAGAGTCCCCGCCCCACCCAGGCCTCCAGAAAGGAAAATGGAAGCGGCTGCCTTCCAAGAAAACAAAGAAGAGAGGCTGGGCGCGATGGCTCATGCCTGTAATCCCAGCACTGTGGGAAGCCAGGTGGGTGGATCATTTGAGGTCAAGAGTTCAAGACCAGCCTGACCAACACGGTGAAAGCCCATCTCCGCTAAAATACAAAAAAATTAGCCAGGTATGGTGTCACGTGCCTGTAATCCCAGGTACTAGGGAGGCTGCACCTGTAATCCCAGCTACTGAGGCAGAGAATCGCTTGAGCCCAGGAAGCAGAGCTTGCAGTGAGCCAAGATTGTGCCACTGCACTCCAGCCTAGGCAACAGAGCAAGACTCCATCTCCAAAAAAATAAATAAATAAATAAAATGAAGGAGAGAGAGTGGAGGGTGGAGAGAGCCAGCCGGGAGGGCCTCTGGAGGCGCGCTTCTCCAGCACGGCTACGGGACAAGGGGCGGTCGGATGGGCCCTGAGCTCTGAGCGTTTTCCACCTTCCTCCTCCACTGTTGGCAGCTGCTGTCTGGGGGCTTAGGACTCTCGTTCTCCTCGAGGACTTGAACCCAGCCCTTGTGTTGACTGTGGCCTTCTTTACCCATGAGAGAGCTCTGGCTGGGATCAGAAGACCTCTTGTAAACTGTAAAGTGCTACCTCTATGACCACAGTCCCCACTTGCTCTGGGGGCTCAAGAAAGAGGGATCTGGGCCTCTGTGTGTGCCCCCCAGAGGGTGCCTGCTGAGAGCTTCTGGGCAGCAGCCCCTGCCAGTCTGACTGCCCACCCCCTACTAGGTGAGGGGCCACAGGGAAACCAAGGCACAGGGAGCTCTCAGGCCCCACACAGATTGCATGGACAGTGGCGCCTCATGTTTTGTGTGTGTTATACAGTCATATTTTTTATCTCTATAGAATTATCTTTACACATATACAAAAGTTTGCATTTCAACCTTAAAATTTGTATTTTATTGTTTTTCTATTTGTACACACATAAAAATACTATTTTTACCATTCATAGAGAAAATACAGCTGATACATCAAACTCTTTATTTTATGGCTAGCATGTAGTCTTCATTTCATTTTGTAACAGTGTAATTAAGATATCATTCATATACCATACATTGCACCATTTAAAGCATATCGTTTAGGCCAGGCGCAGTGGTGCACACCTGCAGTCCTAGCCCTTTCAGTGGCTAAGGTAGAAGGATGGCTTGAGCCCCGGAGTTCAAGACCAGCATAGGCAACATAGAGAGACCTTGTCTCTACAAAAAAAAAGAAAAAAAAAAATGCAGAAATCAATCAGGCATGATGATGTGTGCCTTTAGTCTCAGCAATTCCAGAGGCTGAGGTGAGAAGACTGCCTGAGCCCAGGATGTCGAGGCTGCGGTGACACTGCACCAGTGCACTCCAGCCTGGGTGACATAGCAAGACCCTGTCTCCAAAAAAATGTGTATCATTTAGCTTTTCTTAGTATATTCAGTGTTATACTAAGAAAGAAACCCTATGCCCATCTTAGTCACCCCCATTCTCCCTTCTGCCAGCCCCAGCACCTACTCATCTCCTTTCTCTCTGGATGGATTGGCCCATTCTGGAATTTTCACAGGAACGGAGTCTACACCAGAGGCCTTCTGTGACTGGCTTGTTTCATGCACATCGTGTCTTCAGGGTCCACCCACGTCATAGCCCGTGTCAGAGCCTCATGCCTTTTGATGGCCACGTGTTCCATTGTGCGGACAGGGCACGCTTTGTCTCCCCGTTCATCTGTTGGTGGATGTCGGGTTGTCTCTGCCTTCTGGCTGTTGTGGGCTGTGCGGTGCTGCAGTGATGGGCGCGTACAGGTTTCTGAGTAGATGTTTTCTCTCATTTGCCTGGTGTGTGCCTAGGAGTGGAGCTGCTGGGTTTAGGGCAATGAGGACACACCACCCTCTTTCCAAAGTGGCTGCGGCATTCTGTTTTAAATTTAAGCTTGCAAGTGCGAGCTGGTTGAAACGGATGGCAGTAGATAAACCTGGGGGAAGGGACATGGGGGTGGCGGCAGTTGAAGCCGCAGGCGGAGTATGCTGGGATGGGTGACTACCATCTGTTTGAACCTGGGTCAGGGTGCCTTGTCCTGAGGATGGCGGGGAGGGCACGGCTGGGCCCAGGTCCAGGGAGCGAGGCAGGGCAGCGGCCAAAGGAAAGGCTTTAGGTGGTCCTGGGAGATCACGCAGGGTCTAGACAGGTGGAGGGAGGGGAGGGAGGAGAGTGGGCCGGTGGTGGGGGCGGTGGAGGTGCATGCAGAAGTCAGGGTGACCTTCCTCGTCTGGCCCCCGCCTGGGCGCCGTGGGCAGCCTCAGCAGGCGTCACCGAGTCTGTGTCTGCTCTCCCCGCTCAGCTGAGCGTGTGGCAAATGCGGGCAGCAAGCTGGTACCTGCAGGACAGGCTGGTCACATGCCGGTGGCCCCATGGTCCTGCTATGGCAGACAGTGGAGAGGGGACTGCTGGCAGAGGCCTCAGCACCCTGGGCATGGGCCCTGCTCATCTGCAGGAAGGAGGTGGGTGCTTCTGGGCACCTGGCATCCCGCACTGGCAGCTGAGTGCTGGGGTGGTGTGAGCTGTGTCCCCGTTGTCACAGCTCTCACCTCGAGGCCAGTAGGCTGTGGCTTACGGTCTGCACAGGATGTCATCACTGTGGTCACGGCACAGAGTAGAGGCTGTGCCGACAGGACCTGCTGGCTTCTTGCACCCAGAAGTTTTGCCTTCTGACTGAATTCCAGGCCCGTGTCTGCTGCCCTCACGCCTGCCATGTGATCATTTCACTAGCTCAGAAGACCTAGGACACAGACTGGGTTCTGCATTGCCTCCAAATACCCCCAAACACAGGCCAGGCTGCTTCTGTACCCCGAAACGCAGGCCAGGCTGCTTCTGTACCCCCAAACGCAGGCCAGGCTGCTTCTGTACCCCCGAATGCAGGCCAGACTGCTTCTGTACCCCCGAACACAGGCCAGGCTGCTTCTGTACCCCCGAGCGCAGGCCAGGCCGCCTCCAAATACCCCCAAACACAGGCCAGGCCGCCTCCATACCCACAAACACAATCCAGGCTCCCTCCAAATACCCCTAAACTCAGGCTGGGCCGCCTCCATACCTGCAAACGCAGTCCAGCCTCCCTCCAAATACCCCTAAACTCAGGCTGGGCCGCCTCCATACCCGCAAACACAAGCCGGGCCACCTCCATACACCCAAATACAGGCCAGGCTGCTTTATGCCCAGCAAATGCAGGTTGCAGGAGGGAGTCAAGAACTGGGCAGCCCCGGGCAGCCACACTGGGCAGGTGAAGGGTTCTCAGGCTGGAGCAGATCCAGTTCCTGCCCTCGGAGACCTCATGCCAACTGGGGAGCCAGATGGGGATTATGGCAGGTGTTGTGCCCAGTGTTGGGGCCTTGGAAATCCTGGAAGGCTTCCTGAAGGAAGCAGCACCCACTGAGCAGCTTGGGAGCCACACCTCAATGCATGCTCTGCTAGGCACCGTGTGCCCTGTGTCAGCCTCTGGTTGTGCATCTCAGTAGCAGACAGAGGAAGGAACTGTCACTGTGGCTGACTGGTAGACAGTGGGCATGCCCTGCCTACCCCTCCACACAAAGCCTGTGGCCTGGGCCCTTGTTTTCATGTCCTCGTCCTTCATGGATAGTGTGTGGTAGAGATTCCAGGAAGTGGGTGCGGCTCCCCCACTCCTGCCTCTGTAACCGGAGCTCATTCGGCTCCATGCCCACTGTCCTGCCCTGGCACCCGAGCCTCTCAGATTCGAGTGATGAGGAATCTCTTGGTGAATCTCTTCATTACTCTGTCCCTGAATCGGGCTGATTCTTTGACTTCCTGGCAGCTTCTGGAGGGCCATGTGTGGTGTGGGCCCCAGGTCGGGCTTCTCTGGGATTTTCCTTGCCTGGGACTGTCTTTGGGGATGTTTTGTCCCAGCCTGGGCCTCTAGCATTGCCCGGCTGGCCTCTCAGCCAGGGTGGGGAGGCTGGCTTGGCCCCTGATGAGGCCTGCAAGAACCAGGGGAGTGAGTGAGGAGGCACCTGCCTGTCCACTTGTGCCTCCCCTCCCCTGGCCCCAAACCTTGGTCTGTTTCCCCAAGAAAATGGTTGACATTGTCTGGGTGACCTGCACGTCACCTCGCGTCTCAGGGCCTTAGCCTCGTCCCCAGGGCTTGAGACAGGAGAGGCCGTCAAAACCCAGCAGCCCCCCACCTGGAAGAGTCCGGCTGCGGGCCCCCAGCTGATGATGCTCGTGTCCCCACAGGCTGCTGTCCCCAAGGCCCAGCCTCCTCACCCCGACTGGCGACCCCCGGGCCAACGCCTCGCCCCAGAAGCCACTGGACCTGAAGCAGCTGAAGCAGCGAGCGGCTGCCATCCCCCCCATCGTGAGTGCCCACCCCCAGAGCCCCGCAGAGTCCACCCTGACCTTGACTTTCCCGTTCATCGAGACAGAGAATCCCACGGGTGGGAGCGCGCACCTGCAGCCCAGCTCATCTGCTGCTGTTTCCTGGAGAAACCCCCGTGGAGATGAGGTGGGAACAGCTGGGGAAGCTGGCAGGTGCACTGGATGGGGCTCCCGGTGAAGGCAGGGACTGGCAGCCTACCGCCTCCCCGCTTTCACCCTGCAGCACCCTTGAACCCCCACATTAGATACTGGGTCATGGGGAGGCAGGAGCTTCCCCCACCCACTCAGCTGTAGCAACAACTTGGCCAGGGAAGGGTGGGGCTTACCCGTTCTGACCCTGGGGCCCTCTGGGAACACCCCCCTGGAAGGTTCTCTCAGCTGGTGGGTGGGCCCGTGGAGGTGCCTTCTCCAGGGAGGTGAGTCCGGGCTTCCCAGATGCAGCTGGGGGTTCCGAGCTAAAAGAAGCTGAGCTGACCAGGCTGGTGGTCCCTCGGGGCTTTGAGTGATGGGCTCAGGGCGTGCCAGGCTGCACCGCCCAGTCCCCCAAGGCCCACAGAGTCCTGTTGCTCAGTCCTGGCTTCCCTGAGACCCAGAGGATTTGGGTCCACGGAAGGAGCTGGAGGAGAGGGTAACGGCAGGCTCCAGCCTCCTGTCCACCACCAGGCTGCTGAGCCAGGCTTTTTGGGAGGTGGGCTCCCCCTGTCCACCGCCGGGCAGCTGAGCCAGGCTTTTTGGGAGGTGGGCCCCCCTGTTCACCACCGGGCAGCTAGGCCAGGCTTTTTGGGAGGTGGGCCCCCCTGTTCACCACCGGGCAGCTGGGCCAGGCTTTTTGGGAGGTGGGCTCCCCTGTCCGCCACCGGGCAGCTGGGCCAGGCTTTCTGAGGAAGTGGGCTCTTCCTGTCCATCACCAGGCAGCTGGGCCAGGTTCTGGGAGGTGGGTCCCCATGTCCATCACCGGGCAGCTGGGCCAGGTTCTGGGAGGTGGGCTCCCCCTATCCGCCACCGGGCAGCTGGGCCAGGCTTTTTGGGAGGTGGGCTCCCCAATGTGCTCTGTGCTAAGACCTCCCCTTCTTGCCCCACTTGGGACCTTCAGCATGTCACTGGCTTTCCCAGGCCTTGGTTTCCAGGCTGGTCACGTGCATGTCTCTCCCTGACCCTGTCACCGTCGGACACCCTCTGTGGATGCTCACTTCTGCCTGCTTTCCTCAGCAGGTCACCAAAGTCCATGAAGCCCCCCGGGAGGACGCAGCTCCCACTAAGCCAGCTCCCCCCGCCCCACCACCGCCACAGCACCTGCAGCCGGAGAGCGACGCCCCTCAGCAGCCTGGCAGCAGCCCCCGGGGCAAGAGCAGGAGCCCGGCGCCCGCCGCTGACAAGGAGGGTGAGTCCACATCAGTGGCTGAGGGGGGCTGGGGCAGCAGGGGACTGATGGACAAGGGATGTTTGTGTGTCCAGAGCAGCTGCTGCAACCCCCACGGCCACAGTGACAGGGAAAGCAAAGTAAACGAATGGAACAGTTGAGCAGGCGGAGGCAGTTGGGAATGGTAGGGACTGCGGCAAATTGGAGAACTCATGTTTTCTCTGAAATGGGCATGTATTGGCCTTGGCCAAGAGTAACCCCGTGGCAAATCACGCCTGGGGTGGTTCTTCCAGCAAAGCCAGAAATCCATCTTCTTATGTGAAATCCCCCTGGTTTCTCAACACAGACAACTTCTCAAAATTTTCAAAAGCATTGTGAATACACAAAAACGTGTCTGCAGCCCAGCCTCTGATTTGGTGTGAATCAGTCCACGCAGGAGCTTCTCGAATCACAGATGGGGCCCAGCACCTGGCTGGCAGCAGCTCTGGGGCCTGGACAGGAAGGGCTGCCCTCCCCAGCTGGCATTCTGACCTTGCTCCAGGCCCAGGTCTCTGGGTTCACCAGGAGCCGGGAGAGGGGGTGACTCCTGAGCAGCTGTGTCACAGTGACTGCCCCGGGCACACCTCACTGTCATCACGTGAAGCTCAAGGTTAGGAGACAGGCAGGCGTAGTTGCTTGTTCTCTGGATCTTCAGTCTCTACCCCACTTCCCACTGGGCCCAAGAAATTCTGAACCTGTGTCCCCAAAGAGGCATCTTCTCCAGGTCAGCCTGGCATGCAGCAGGTGCTGTTGTGCCTTGCAGGTGTTGGGGGCTACCTCCCCAGAGGTTATCCACCCTGGGCTAGCCCGGGCGCTTGCTGGCGGGCTGTTCCAAAGGTCTGAGGGCAGCAGGACCCCAGGCCGACCTCCTGACCAGCACAGCCCAGGGACGAACCCGGGTGACCGGAGCTATCACCAGCTGTCCCCTCCCCACTGCCTTGGGTGTGACATCCCCCTTCTCTTTTTTTTTTTTTTTTTTGAGACGGAGCGTCAGTCTCGTCAGGTTGGAGTGCAGTGGCGCTATCTCAGCTCACAGCAGCCTCCGCCTCTGGGGTCCACCCGAGGCTGGTGGGTCAGGACATTTGTTGAAACCCAAGGCCCCAAGCACCATGCTAGGCAGTGGGGGTTCGGCAGGGAGAAGGGGAAGTCTCTGCTGTGAGGAGCTGCTGTTTTTTTGAGTGAGGAGGATGTTAAACCAGGGAACACGTAATGAAGCAAGATGATTTTAGAGTCGTTCGTCCATCATGAGAAACAAAACGGGTTGAGTGAAGAGGCGGCTCCGGGAAAGACCCTGTGCGGGGGGGGCAGCCCCGCCACGGGAGATCTCTGGGTGGGCATTGCGGGCAGAGGGAACAGCACGTGCAAAGCCCTTGGTGTGGAAACACGCTCGGGTGTGTGAGGAGTCGCCAGGGGTGGTGTGGCCGGGGAAGGGTGGGCGGGTGGACAGTGAGGGAGGTGGGGGCCGGATTGTGTAGGGCCTCTCAGGCCATAGCAGGCAGTGGATTTTTGTCTCAGGTGTGGCAGGGGCTGCTGGAGGGATTTGAAGTGAGCATGTGTTGTGGAAGGGGAAGGGGGTGCTTGTTATCTGATTTATATTTTGGAAAGCTCTCTCTGGCCGTTGTTGAGTCAAGGGCAGAAGCAGGAGGTCACAGCGCTGCTCTTGGCAGGCGACAGAGGCTGCCTGAACTGCACAGGTGGTTGTGGAGGTGGAAGGAAGGGCGCATCGGGAGTTCGTTTTGGAGGCAAAGCCAGTGGGGCGTTGAACCCGGTGTGGGGATGACGCCAGGGATGTCTCGCTGGAACCGGGATGCCTCATGACAAGGGCTGGGCCGCCTGGGGCCAGGGTACAGTGTGCGGCCCAGGGGGTGGCTCTGGGAGATGTTGCGGGTTTGGGGCACCAGCCCTGGAAGGAGCTGTGTATCCATGTCAGGGGCCCCAGCAGCTTTGGCCAGCATCAGATCTGATCGGGGCTGGAACTGCACGGCGCCAGCCAGGTCCTGCCGAGCCAGGTCACAGGCCCCTGTCCTGCGAGAAAGGGAGCCACCGGCCAGCAGTTTCTGCAGCTGGCACTCAGCCTATTGGTGTGGCCAGGGCCTGTGCCGTTTCCTGGCCTCATTCCCCATGGGGACGGTGCACCTGGCGTCAGGCCCTGCATGCCTTTCTTGCACAGCCTGGCTTGCAGCTCAGCTCCCGCAGAGACACACATGAACTTGACACCCAGCGCTACCTCTCTGGTCTCTCAGGAAGCCAGCCTTCTCTGCCCCTGGCTCCCACACAGAGCGGCTCAGCCAAGCAGGTCCCTCGGGGCCCCCTGGGCCCAGCTGGAGGAACAGGTTGTCTCTCCAGGTTCTCGGCCGCCCGCCCAGCCTGGCCTAACCCCAGCTTGCCTTCCTGCATCGAGCAGCTCCCCTCCTCTCCCTCCCAGCTCTCTGGAACTAGGCTGGAGGAAGCACCAGAGGCATACAGGGCTGGGTAGCCAGAGGGGCGAGGTCCAGGGCATTTGCAGGATCTCCAGATCTGAGGCAGGCCCTGTACAGCTGACTCCACTGGGGACTGGTTAAGAAGGAGAATTCCCCTGCATCTGTGCCCCCTGCCTCCTGTGGGCTGCCCACCTCGCCAGGGCACAAGTCCAGGGAAACTCAGTCTTCTGGGAGAGAATTGGGGGCGATTTGGTACACAGTCCTCCTTGCCCACCTGCTCTGCTCACGGCAGGCATCATGAATTGATCTTAGCACTCTCCTCCGCTGTCACACCCCAGTGGGCCCTCAGAAGCTCCTTTGTTCATCTGGAGGTGGCGTGATAGATGACACCTGCCTGCCATTCCTGTCCCAGGACCCAGAGGCCTCTGTCATTCCCAAGTTGTATCTCTGCTCAACTTCTTGGCCGGTTATCTCCCCCAGAATTGGTCCTCAGGGAGAGGTTCAGAGCTGAGGACAGATTTCAGCAAAGGGTGAGAGGCCGGCAGGAAGATACCATGAAGTCAGGCCTGAGCCCCTGGGCCCTGCTGAGTTTATAGGATCTCCCCAGGCCTGAAATCTAGGACCCATCATTGCTTCTCTGCCACAGGCAGTGTGGCATAGCAGTCCGGGTTAAGGCCATGGTCTGCAGCCCCCGTGCCTGGGTTCGAAGCTGCTATCTGCCACTTGCTAGCTGGAGCCTTTGACCAGGTGGCTTAACCTCTCGGCCTCTATTTTCCCGTCTGTGAAATGGGGATAATCAGTCAGTTCCTTGTAGGGTACTGTGAGAATAAATGAGTGAACATGCTTAGATTCATGTCAGCCATGGAGGCGTAAGAGAGCATTACCTCTTGGTGTTGCCCTTTGCACGCTCTGCCTGGTAAGTAGCTTTGCCTGAGCTGGGGCTTCTCAGCCAGCCAGCGCACAGTCACTGTTTGCACTGGCTCAGTGGGCTTCTGATCCTGACTCGGCTAAGTATTTGCTGGTGAACTCAGATAAGCCCATTGGTGTGTCTGTACCTCAGTTTCCCCTCTGTAAAATGGGTCTGGCAGCAGTCTCTGTATGAGCTTAACAGGAGGCTCATGGAGGCCATGGGGTCCTGAGCACAGTACCTGTGCTGAGTACCACTCAGCAAACTGAGGCTGACGCTGCAGTTGTTATCTGGAGGGTCTGGGCTTATAACCCCCCACTGCCTGCCACAACATACACACACAGGCACACACACACATCCATGCACTCACACACAAGAGTGAGAATTCCCCTGCATCTGTGCCCCCCTGCCTCCTGTGGGCTGCCCACCTTGCCAGGGCACAAGTCCAGGGGAAACTCAGTCTTCCAGTATATGTATGCACATACATGTGTACGCGCACACACACACGCACACACATCACAGGTTACCTCCTTCAACATTGTGTAGAGCACAAGCCAGCAAACTTTTCCTGCAAAGAGCCAGAGAGTAAATATTTTAGGCTTTGTGGGCCAGACAATCTCTTGCAAGGACTCAGTTCTGCCATAGACAATAAATAAATGAACAGATGTGACCACGCTCCAGTAAAAGCATATTTACAAAGTCAGACAGTGGGGCCAAGCGTGGTGACTCACGCCTGTAATTCCAGCACTCTGGAGGCCAAGGTGGGAGGATCTCTTGAGCCCAGTAGTTCAAGACCAGCCTGGCTACACATAACAAGACCTCATCTCTACAAAACCAAAACATAAATTAGCCAAGTGTGGTGCGGTGACACGTGTTTGTAGTCCCACCTACTTGGGAGGCTGAAGTGGGAAGATCCCTTGAACCCAAGAGTTCAAGACCAACCTGGGGCAACATAGCAAGACCCCATCTCTACAAAAGTAAAACAGATTAGCCAGGCATGGTGTGGTGGTGGGCGCCTGTATTCCCAGCTACTTGAGGGGCTGAGGTGGGAGAATCACTTGAGCCCAGAGGTCAAGGCTGCAGTGAGCCATGACAGCACCAGTGCACTCCAGCCTGAGTGACAGAGGGAGACCCTGTCTCAAAAAAGTTAGGGGCAGACAGACCCCCGAGAGACCGTTCGCCGCTTCCTGGCTTCGGGGCCTGTCCAGGGGCCTCGGCTTGCTGGACTTGGCTGAGTGCCTGTGGGGTTGTAGAGCCACAGGGTCCCGTTCTCGTCCTCAGGGGCAGCTGAGAGCCCCCAGCCCAGACCTCGAGACCCCTCCCCTGCTGAGCAGAACACCATGGGGTTACAGAGCAGCGCCCGGGCAGGCAGACGTGGGGGGCTTCCCAGAGGAGCCCAGGCTGTCACGGGCCGCCACGACTGTGGGTGCAGGAAGGCCGTTTGAGTAGGGTCAGCCAGGGCTCCCGAGGTCTGACTGCCCCGCCTCCTGCCCTCAGCAGAGAAGCCTGTGTTCTTCCCAGCCTTCGCAGCCGAGGCCCAGAAGCTGCCTGGGGACCCCCCTTGCTGGACTTCCGGCCTGCCCTTCCCTGTGCCCCCCCGTGAGGTGATCAAGGCCTCCCCGCATGCCCCGGACCCCTCAGCCTTCTCCTACGCTCCACCTGGTAAGTAGCTCTGCCTGAGCTTGGGCTTCTCCTTCAGCCGGGGCATAGTTACTGTTGGCACTGTTGGCACTGGCTCAGAGCTGCACACAGAAGCACCTTAAAGCCTCATGGGACCCGGCTGGAGGGATAGCCTGGTCAGTGGAGGGAAAGGGGGAGATCTTTTGAGAAAGCTGCCCCAGGATTGAGGTTGAAGCCACTGGCAAGAGGGAGCCACAGCAGGTGCTTGAGCTGGCGAGGGGCAGGCTTAGAGTGGGAGCTATGTTTTCCATTGACGGCTTAGAGCTAGAGAATGGGCAGATGGTAGAAGAGCCTGGGGAGGGAGCAGAGGTGCTGCCTTGGTTCACAGACTGTGAGGCTGCATTTCGGCCCTGTTCTAGGTCCTGCAGTCCTGCTGGGCCTTGCCAGCTGTATAGCAGCACAGCCGGGGGCTGGTACAGACTGTGTTGGTAAATGCTGGTCCCGAGGGATGCGTGGGCCAAGGGAGCCAGAACAGGGAAAGTCATGCCAGGCAGACGGAACAGCATGTGCAAAAGCCCTGTGGCAGGAGAGAGCAGGCAAACTTGAGAAACTGAATCCGGCCACCACTGCCGAAGCTTGGTGCCCAGTGAGCTGGGGAGACCAGGGGCCAGGTCAGGCAAGCCCGAAGGCCGAGTCAGGGGCTAAGACTTTCTCCTGAGGGCAGTGGGGAGCCATTGAGGGCACACAGCAGGGGGGCGGGTGTGCACCAGTGACTTTTCCAAAAAGGTCCCTTTGGTTCGTGTAAGGGGAAGGGGCTACTGGGAGCTACAGTGGAAACGGGAAGACCAGTTAGGGGATCCAGGTGAGACTGGAGGGGGCTTGGATCAGGACCTGGGCGGTGGGGAGGTGGGAGGCTTCCCCAGGATAGTGGTGTCTGCATCCAGGACTCAGGTCACTAATGAGGACAGAGCCAGGCAGGGCAACAGAGGGGCGCGCATGGATGGGCACTTCCTGGCCAGGACAGGGAAGAGGTGGAGTGCAGCCTGGGCTGTGTGTCCAGCAGGGACATGACTGCTCCTGGGCCCCACAATGGACAGACATGTGCTCCACAGGTCACCCGCTGCCCCTGGGCCTCCATGACACTGCCCGGCCCGTCCTGCCGCGCCCACCTACCATCTCCAACCCGCCTCCCCTCATCTCCTCTGCCAAGCACCCCAGCGTCCTCGAGAGGCAAATAGGTGCCATCTCCCAGGTGAGTGGTAGCCCTTCCTTTCTTCCTTTCTTGGGGGCTTGGTCTTCTTCTCTGTAAAGTGGGGGCGATGGGACCAGTGAAGTCTGGGTGGGGGCCAGGTTCTTGGGGGTCTGGGTCATTTCCACTCAGGCATCTGGGGTCTGAGCTGGCTGGGTCCTGCCCCAGGTACTCAGGGCCTCGTCCCTGGGGGGGTCACTGTGTGTTGCAGTCAAGGGCACGGCTCGGGAACCAGGCTGTGTGGCCTCAGACGAGTTACTTAACCTCCTGTTTCCCCCACTGTGAAATGGAAGGGCAAATGCGAGGGGCTCAGAGGGTATGGCCCCTTCACAGGGGAGGGGGCCGAGGCTTGGGAGCAGCAGTGACTTGTCTGCCATCACACAGCTGGACAGCAGCCCCGGCCTCTGACCCACATGTGGGCTTTGTGAACCGGAGCATTAGGCACTCGACTGTGGGGGAGGGACCAGAGTGCCCCTGTGACCCCACAACTCTGCACCTACAGGGAATGTCGGTCCAGCTCCACGTCCCGTACTCAGAGCATGCCAAGGCCCCGGTGGGCCCCGTCACCATGGGGCTGCCCCTGCCCATGGACCCCAAAAAGCTGGGTAAGGCTCCTGGCCCATCTATCTGGGTGGCTCAGGCTGGGCTCCGGCTGTCCTGTGGGTGGGGGTGGAGGTGAGGAAGGGGTATCTTGGCCCACGGTACTCCAGGTAGCAGCTGGGAGGTCCCCCCCCAGCAGCCCTGGCTGGAACATGGTGAGGAGGGGCGGCGCTTCCCAGCCCCTGGCTCAGGTTGGGTGGGGACAAGCCTCCCGGGACTCTGCCCCAGCCGCACATGACTCGCTCCTCTTACTGGTCCTCAGCACCCTTCAGCGGAGTGAAGCAGGAGCAGCTGTCCCCACGGGGCCAGGCTGGGCCACCGGAGAGCCTGGGGGTGCCCACGGCCCAGGAGGCGTCCGTGCTGAGAGGTGAGGGCCCTTCTGCCCTGGACCCCCAGCATCTGCCCCTGTTCCCGGGATGCCCAAGGGGCCCTTTATTCAAAACCTGCTGGGGAGCATCATCTCCCAGAGGGTCTGGGGACCCCTCTTCACAGCCGTCTCCCTCACCATTTAGGGGTAGGGGGACTCCCTCTGCGTTGAAACAAGCACAACTTGTGGGTTGCTCAGTCAGGGTGACTCTCAGGACCGGGGCCTGAGGAAGGAAGGGCCACAGACACCCCCTCAGCCCCGTGTCTTGTGTCTTCCAGGGACAGCTCTGGGCTCAGTTCCGGGCGGAAGCATCACCAAAGGCATTCCCAGCACACGGGTGCCCTCGGACAGCGCCATCACATACCGCGGCTCCATCACCCACGTAGGTGTCCTGGGGTGCGGCATGAAGGATGGGTTGGGACCGGCATGGGACCAGCCCATCTTATAACCCCTCATTGTCACCAAACCATTAGCCTCAGCCAGTGGGGTGATGACTGGGGGACAGCAGTTCACTCCATGAGCTTTCATCTTGTCTGCATGGAGTCAGGCACTGGGGTTGCCAAGCACAGCTCAAAACTCTGCTTTCAGGGAGCTGCCATGTAGTGGAAGGAAACAGACCAGGGTAAATAAGTCGGCTGGTGAAAACTGAGCAGGCAGAGGCAGAATGTTAGTGCCCCGCGGCTGAGAATGCCTGGCCAGGGACATTGCTTAGACAGGTGAGGAAGGTGACATGTCAGCTGTGGCCAGAAGAAATTGAGGGTGCAAGCCATGCGGGAATCTCAGGGAACAACATTCTAGGCTCAGGGAACAGCATGTGCAAAGACAGAGCGTGAGAGGGTTCCTGAATCGTGCCAGAAGTGGTGCCCCAGCCTTGCAGCTGGTGAGCTGTGGCCCCAGGGTTTTGTGCCACGAGTGTCTGGCTCTAGAACACAGCGACAGAGTGTGGGCTCATACACGCGCACACACGCACACGTGTTCTACCAGTGGAGCTGCGGGCAACAGGATGGTCCACAGCGAGGTGCTTTTGACTCAGGCAGCGTCAAATCCCACCACAGAGGAGCTGTTTACACTTCGTCCTTCCCTGAAATCTGTAGGTTTGAAAACTCGGAGCTTTCAAAGGCAACTGTGCTGAGTGGGAAGGGCAGGTGCTTTGGGCAAAAGTCAGGCTGAGGGCCCTCAGCTGCCAGCTCCGTCACCCACTCAGACAGCGGCCTGCCCTGACTCAGTTTCCCCTTTGCTAACTATTCCTGGGGGAGTCATTCTCCTAAAGTCATAGGAACCTTTGAGGTTCCCAGGCGTCCACCTGCTCTGGGTTCCTGGGTGGCCGTGACCCGCACCCTTCCTCGAACCCTCCCAGTTACACACACGTCTTTGATTGCTTTTGGCAGAGAGCCAGCCGCCAAAACGTGTGAGATAGGCGAGGGTCAAACTTCCCTGCAGTCTCGCTACCAGATAGTGAGGAAGTCAGCGTGTGGCCTGCACACATAGAGCTGTTTTATTAACTGAGTGGGTGCCCCAGGCAGGGACCATGTGGTTCCACAGCTGGCGAGGGAGGCTCGAGGAGGTCACAGCTCCCTGATCCTCCAGGGACTTCCTGCCCATCTTGGGAGTAGAGTTCATTGGGGCCAAGAGCACGAGGCTACGGGCTCATCTCCCGGAAGCCGACGTTATGCGACGTTATGCAAACGGAAGCTTCCCTGTTAATGGGCGTTTGTGCCATGTATTCTCCCAAGAGCAGGGGCCACTGGCTGGATTTCTGTTCTCTGTCCATGTCCCTGAAGATGGCACCTCTAAAATACTATAGCTCAGAAACATCAAGCTGGGCACAGTGGCTCATGCCTGTCAGCCCAGCATTTTGGGAGGCCAAGGTGGGAGGATAGCTTGAGCCCAGGAGTTTGAGACCAGCCTGGACAAAAAGAGGCCTGTCTCTACAGCAGATTTAAAAATTGGCTGGGCATGGTGGCACATCCCTGCAGTCTCAGCTGCTCGGGACTGGGAGGCAGGAGGATCACTTGAGCCCAGGATTTTGAGGCTGCAGTGAGCTGTGACGGTGCTCTAGACTCCACCCTGGGCAATGCAGCAAGATCCCTTCTCAAAAAAAAAAAAAAGAATCAGATGCCTCAGTTTCACCATGGAGAGCCCCCCACACACTTTTAAATCATTTATTGTGGTATTCAGTAAGCTACTGATTTCTGCAGTACAAACCCAGTCTGACATGGACCATCTGATGTTAGGACTGGAGACAGAAAGAGGCACTTGTATCAGCTGCCTCTGGGGGGGGCTTTTCCCGCCAGGATGCTGCAGGCTTCCCCTTGTGCCTTCCTGATGGGAGCGGTGGCTGCCCGGAGCTGTCACCTGACTTAGCACCTATTGTGCCATACTTTGGTGCACAGGTGACTTACAGCACTGCAGGGAGATGCTGCTCAGAGTATTTGCTTTGAGAAGCTTGGGGGTAGCTCACTGGAATTCAGGGCATCTTGCTGTTGCCCTCCACAAAGACCAGGATCTGCGATGAGCACCCTGGGGTACCAGGTGCTGCCCTCGGCCAGGGGATGTCCCCAGCTGAGCAAGTCCAGCCAGAGACTCAGAGCTCACTGGTCCAGGTCTTGGGACATAGTAGGGCCCCTACCGTTGAATCTGCTCCTGGAATCCTAGAAAGAGAAGAGGGATACTGAGATTTGGGGATCCCTTGTCTGTGCCAGCTGCCTTTGAGAATCATCAATGCAGAATGTCTCCATTTTGTGGATGTGCAAACTGAGGCTCAGAAAGGAGGTCCCACGATAACTTGGTAGTAAAGTTGCTGTTTGACACCCAACATTCTGACTCCAAGTCGTATTCTAACTCTGATGCTTATGTTCTTGAAAGTCACCTGCGGCAGGATGCTGCCCCGTGTGGCCTCTGCTCTCTGCTTGAACACGTCCTCTGACGGGGACCTCATTCCCTATATGGTAGTGGTTCTCAGTCGGGGGAAATTGTGCCTCCAACTGTCTGGGGACATTTTCAATTGTCCTAACTTGGTGGGGGACACACTGGGGAGGCGTGTACTACTGGCATCTAGTGCTTTGAAGCCAGGGACGCTGTCATTTAGCCCGCAGTGCACAGGGCAGCCCTGCAACAAAGAAGGGCCCAGCTCCAGCTGGCAGGAGGGCCGAGGTGGAAAACCTGGGTTAGAACTAAAATTTCTGGTGTCCTGCCCTGACGTGAGTCCTTGTCCTGGTTTTAGGAAACCAAAGTGCATGACGTGGTCATGGGCACAGCCCAGGAGCAGAAACCCCAGCATCCCCACCAGTTACCGTTTTCAGTTACTGAATGTCAAGGCTCTGAGAAGTAAAACCCATGCAGTGGTGGGGACACAGACTCCAGGACCAAAATGCCTGGGTTCAAGTCCCCGCCTGCCACTCGTTAGCCAGGTGACCCCAGGTAAAGTCACCGTGCCTCCCTGTGCCTCGGTTTCCCCATCTGAAACAGGCATAATCAATAGGGTTGCCTTAGGGTTGTTTCAAGGATTAGATGAGCGAATCCATAGAGAGCAGCCAGAAGAGTGTCCCGTGCTCATGGGAAGCCCTGGACACGGGATCCTCATTCTTCAGCTTCCTCACAGGGTTTGTTCCGTGCAAGCTCTTACCCTTTTGAGACAGTGTGTGTGTGGACACACGTGTGCATCGGTGGGCACGTGGGCTTGTAAGCACGTCTGTGTCTGCATTTGAATTGAGAGGGGTCCTGGGCTGCAGCCTCATGGGCGCTCACCCCTCTGCACCTGCAGGGCACACCAGCTGATGTCCTGTACAAGGGCACCATCACCAGGATCATCGGCGAGGACAGCCCGAGTCGCCTGGACCGCAGCCGGGAGGACAGCCTGCCCAAGGGCCACGTCATCTACGAAGGCAAGAAGGGCCACGTCTTGTCCTATGAGGGTGAGTCGTGGGAGGAAAGGAGGCCCAGGACCAGGGGAGGAATGTGCTTGGCCCACTGAAGTAGCTTCACAGGGAGGCAGGGCTGGGTTGACATCAGAAAGCACAGTCTCATAGGTATGCAAGCCAGCAGCAGGGAGGCGTCGGCCTTAGCTGCATCCCACCTCCGCCTAGTTCTTTACAATTTAGGAAACAAACTTGTGGCCAACCTTTTTAGAAGCATAGGAGGGAAACTGAGGCCCAGAGCAGAAGCCCAAGCTCGTGCTGCCAGACCTCCAGCACGGCACTGACAAACCGTGCAGTCTCTCACTGGCCGTGAAAGATGCCATGGCCAGAGCGCGCCTCACCCCGCCGTGCCCCAGGCGCTTGCTGCGGAGCCCCCATCCTCTCCCTCTCTAGGCTCTGGGTTCCAGAACCAGGAGACCCTGCCAGGAAGGAGTTAAGGGAGTCGAGTGCCGGGAAAGAGAATTGCCTGGCAGCCTAGGGCACCCAGGGGTGTGGAGATGAAAGCTGCTAATGGGCGCCTCTCTTAGCACTGCAGCTGCAAGGCCCGGAACTGCCTCTCCTCCATCCGCTTCCGCCTGTGCCCGCGGCCCCCTCCCCAGGCCTGGGAAGTGGAGGTGGCACTGTGTGGCTTAGGAACATATGCGCTCCCTGCTGCCACGGAGAGAGCCTTGGAGACAGGCCTGCAGCTGTGTCTTGGGTGCCAGCTCATGCCCTAGTGCCCCTGGACTGAGTGCCCTGGGGGTGGCGGGAAGCCTGGGAAGGGCTGGTGGCGGGGTTAGTCAAGGGCTTGTCTTGAGAGGTCACTGGGTAGAATCCCACCTTGGGACCCCCGACCAGTGCCTGAGCCTTTATAGGCCTTGAGTGTATCATCTTCATCATGGGTTTCAGTCGGGGCCCTTAAACTCTCGTCTGCTCCCCGGGCCAGGTAGGCAGTGCGGGCAGCGGCAGGTGTGAGACTATAGGGAGTGCGGAGGACTCTGGTGCCTGCCCACGCTGTCCACTCCCCCACAGCCACCGGTCAGCCAGGCTTCCCATCTCTCCGTTTTTATCTGCAATCCCCCAATGTTTAAACATCGGCGGTTAATTTGGAGTGTTTTCTGAACAGCAACCCAGTACCCTCCTGTTGGCAACCACTGGAGTAGCTCATGGGCTGCGGGCCACACAAAGCAGTGGTTGAAAGCCTGAGAGCCTGTCAGCTGGTCATTCCCTCTGAGGGGTGGGGCGGGGGCTCATTTCTGATAGCTCTGGACTCAGCTGCCCTGGAGGGAGAGCCCTGGCTGATGGGCAAAGCCAAGCCTTTACCTTTGGGGGCCACCTCCATCTGTTCAACCCTCTGCCTGTCCGGGGAGTGGTGACCGGGCCAATCTGGGCTCCTTTGACCTGGCGAGGCCACTCCTGCCACGGAGCCTCCCTCACCACTCCCTGCAACACACACCTTTCCATGCACATGCGGACTCGTGGTCGGACACTCACATGCACATCGACACAGGCTTCTGGGTGTGACGTGTACACATGCAAAGCCGTGTACTGCCTGGCACCCTGGTACATGTGTGTACATGGACCCACTTAGTTCTCAGCAGCCAGGCGTGTGCCCACATCCACTCTTGCACACACAGACCCGTGCCCGTGCACACGCGTGCTCCTGCCTGCCCTGCACATCCACTCTGCTGATGCGTCAGTGCACACGCGTGCCCCTACCTGCCCTCACATCCACTCTGCTGATGTGTCAATGCACATGTGTGCTCCTGCCCGCCAGCATACCAACTTTGCTGATGCGTTTCTGCACACGCGTGCTCCTGCCTGCCCTCACATGCACTCTGCTGATGCGTCAGTGCACACGCGTGCTCCTGCCTGCCCCTACATGCACTCTGCTGATGCGTCTTTGCTCACGTGCATGTGTGTGCACATGTTCACGCCCCATGTCAGCGCCTGTGTGTGTGACCACAGACTTGCATGCTCATGTGTGGTCACAGGCAAACCCTTGCTTGCAGACCAGCACCCTGGAGGGCTGGGGTACGGAGCGCAGGCAGCGTGCCTTGCTTCTCCCACTGTGTAACCCCCTGGAAAAGCTCCTGGGTCCTGCTGGCAGGCCCGGGGGCTGCAGGCTGTGGGCTCCCTCTGGAGGCCTCAGCTGTGAGGCCTTGTGACAGGCCAGCATAGAAGCACTGCTGGCTCTTGCCCACCAACTCTGCCTGTCCTGCCTGTCTACCGCGGTCCTGGGCCCATGCACACGGTCACCCCGTGCCCAGCTCCTCACCAAGTGCTTTGTGTGGTTTCCAGGTGGCATGTCTGTGACCCAGTGCTCTAAGGAGGATGGCAGAAGCAGCTCAGGACCCCCCCACGAGACGGCTGCCCCCAAGCGCACCTACGACATGATGGAAGGCCGTGTGGGCAGAGCCATCTCCTCGGCCAGCATCGAAGGTGATAGCAGGGAAAAGACTTCATCTAGGCACCCCCTGCAGGGCAGTGGGGGGGAATGGCTGACCCCATTTTACAGATGGGGAAACCGAGGCTGGGCTTTCTGAGGCTCCATCTGGAGGCAGCGCAGGGACCTTCACGTGCTGGGTCTTACTCCACCATCATCGCGGGGATGACCACTGGTGGCTGTAGACACCCCTGTCACTGCCCAGTGCCGGCTCAGGGACCCATGGAATGATGGCCTTGCCCCCTCCCACCCAGGTCTCATGGGCCGTGCCATCCCACCTGAGCGACACAGCCCCCACCACCTCAAAGAGCAGCACCACATCCGCGGGTCAATCACACAAGGTACCGCCCTGTCCCCTGCTCCCTGGGTGCCCCAACGGGTGTACAGTCAAGCAGGGCACAGGAGGGGAGAGACACAGCCAGAGTGTGGTGGGAACTCAGGACAGGAATGCAGAAAGGCCTGTAGTACATGCGTACGTGATCAGTACGTGAGCTACGGAGCAAGGGTGTCTCTTACTTATTTGAAAACAAAAATGAAAAGCAAAAGACCGCCGATCACCCCTCTGCTTTTAGGTGTTACATAGCAACTGCCCTGTGCTTGGCACTAACCAGCATATCGTTTTACAGAACATCCTGGTGAGGCACATGCGATTGGGAGAGGCTTGGAGAGCTCTGAGAACTTTCAGGTTCTCGTGGCTGGTCCATGGCACAGCCAGCTACTGTGAACTTGGCAGCTTTGTGGTCTTTATTTTTTATCTTTATTTTGTTGTTGTTGTTGGCGTCTGAGAGAGGGTCTCATTCTTGCCCAGGCTGGAGTGCAGTGGCACGATCTCAGCTCATTGTAGCCTCCGCCTTTCAGGCTTAAACAATCCTCCCACTTTAGCCTCCCGAGTAGCTGGGACCACAGATGCACACTGGCACATCCAGCTAATTTTTGTATTTTTGTAGAGATGGGGTTTCGCCCTGCTGCCCAGGCTGATCTCAAACTCCTGAGCTCAAGCTATCTGCCTGCCACAGCCCCCTCAAAGTGTTGGGATTACAAGCGTGAGCTACTGCACCCAGCCTGTGGTTTTAGCTTCATGATTTCATAGTGTTCACGACTTACTGAGGTGGTTCAGTTAATATTCTCGTTTTATGTATGAAGAAGCTGAGGCCCAGAGATTTCAGATTCCCTGATCAAGGTCACACAGCAAGTGGGGATTCGAACTCAGGCAGTCTAGCTCCAGAACCCACTGGTGCAGAAGCTCTTGGTGGGTCTGGACGGGGCAGGGCGTGAGGGTCAGTGCTGTCCGCCCGGCAGGAATCCCTCGGTCCTACGTGGAAGCACAGGAGGACTATCTGCGTCGGGAGGCCAAGCTCTTAAAGCGGGAGGGCACGCCTCCACCCCCACCGCCCCCGCGGGACCTGACCGAGGCCTACAAGACGCAGGCCCTGGGCCCCCTGAAGCTGAAGCCGGCCCATGAGGGCCTGGTGGCCACGGTGAAGGAGGCGGGCCGCTCCATCCATGAGATCCCGCGCGAGGAGCTGCGGCACACGCCCGAGCTGCCCCTGGCCCCGCGGCCACTCAAGGAGGGCTCCATCACGCAGGTACGGCTGGGGCCAGGCAGGCAGGCTCAGTTCTAGGAGGGGCGGCGGTGGCTATGGGACACTGCCCTGGGCCTCTCCACATAAGGAAACCGAGGCTGAGAGCCCTCGCCTGCCTTACAGTCAACCAACTGCTCGTCCCTGGGCCTCGGCTGTGCAAGTTCCGGGGCTGTGCAGGGGGCATCAGGCTCCTGACCTCATTCCACTGAACTCCCATTGTTCCCATTCAGGGAGAGAAACTGAGGCCCAGAGAAGCCAGGCAGGCTTCCAAGGCCACAGGACTGAACACAGTCACGAGTAACTGAATAACTGCCTCCGTTGAATCTTTGGCGCGGCTTGAGGATGTTGCATGCGTTCATTGTTTCACCCCCTAGCAACGCTCTGAGGTCGTTTTCTTAATGACCTTATTTTATTGCTGAGTAAATGGAGGTTCAGAGAGGCTTAAGGACTCACCCAGAGTCATGCAGCAAATGCAGCTGTGAAACCCAAATCCAGATATTCCTGCAGCTGCAGCATCCACTGCACCCCCCAGCAGGCTGCACCATAAGAGGCCCCCGTCCCACCAGGCAGCCCCAGCGCAGTAGGGGAAGTTCCGTGCCGATGGGACGAGGAGCTGCTCGGTGGAAAGCCCCTGGAGGCCACCGTCCTTCCATGTAGGCAGAGGTGGCCTCCTGTGAAGGGGAAGAAGAGTGGGAGCCACTCCGGGGCTGTGGGGCTGTGGGGCTGTGAGGCGGAAGGATTGGGGTGGGTGTCCCGGGAGGGGTTCCAGCTTGCAGGAAGGTTTTGAAGCCGGGGAGAAGGTGGAAGCAGTAAGATCCCTGAATGCCAGGGGAAGGGTTTGGCTCTCAGCCCCTAGGCAATTATGGAGTCCTTGGCAAGCATCCACCGCATTACCAAGACGGGCCAGATTCTAGAATAATCTTTTGAAAAACAAGGGCAGTTCCCCTTTTTCTGAAAGTAATGAAGACATCCCTAAATAGAGTTTTGTTGCTTGCAAAGCCCTAAGGCCCCACCGCATCAGTGTCTCCCAAGCCTGCTGAACAGGGGCAGGGGACCTGGTGGCCCGGCTACGAAGGTCCCAGTCTGGACTGTAACCCCCGCCATTCCCTCAGCCACCCTTTCGGTCCCGAGAGCAAACACCTCAGCCCTGACCTCAGTGTCCCCGGGGCTGAAAGCCTCAGGGCGGGTGGCATTGAGTCTGGGTGCTGACTTTCTCTGCTCGGCATTGGGTGGGCCCCGGAGGGTCTCAGGCTGAACAGAGGAAAGGTTTTACCCACATGCGGGTGTCGGGCGTCTTTCTGGCGGACTCCAGGGACCATGAGGGGGCCTACCACTCGCAGCAGGGAGAGCGGACTGCCGAACTTTTTACCCCTTTCAGCAGTCCTCCCAGGGAGCTTGGGGACCAGGGTCAGGCCCGGGGTGGGCAGGGCAGTAAGTAACAAGTGTGCCCATCTCAGGGTTAGCAGAGCTCTCCGTCTCCCTGCCTCTGGAGGCATAAGATGTCACTTCCATCTTATAGATGACAAACTGAGGCTCAGAAGGGGGATGCAGCTGGTCTGGGCTATGGCTGTGGCCAAGGCTGGAGCTCACACCCCCTCTGCCCCAGGGCACCCCGCTCAAGTACGACACCGGCACGTCCACCACTGGCTCCAAAAAGCACGACGTACGCTCCCTCATCGGCAGCCCCGGCCGGACGTTCCCACCTGTGCACCCGCTGGACGTGATGGCTGACGCCCGGGCACTGGAACGCGCCTGCTACGAGGAGAGCCTGAAGAGCCGGCCGGGGACCGCCGGCAGCTCGGGGGGCTCCATTGCGCGTGGTGCCCCGGTCATTGTGCCTGAGCTGGGCAAGCCGCGGCAGAGCCCCCTGACCTATGAGGACCATGGGGCACCCTTCGCTGGCCACCTTCCGCGAGGCTCGCCTGTGACCACGCGGGAGCCCACGCCGCGCCTGCAGGAGGGTGAGCGAGTGGGGTGTACGTGGGCCTGAGTGAGGTGGGCGCCTGTCTGAGGAAGCTGTGCCTCCCCATCCACTATTAGCTTAGTTCACACCCGGGTCATCCTCGCCACCTGCTGTCCACCACATCCAAACCACCTGCAGTCCTGTGGGCTCTGCCTCCAATTCCAAACCCTGTCCAATTTCTTGCCACCTCCCAGACCACCATGGTGTCTCACCTACTTTCCCCCACGCCCCTCCCTCGTCCTGCTGTAATCCACTCTGCAAACAGCTGCCCGAATACTTTTTAAAAATGCAAATCAAATTATTCCACTTCCCTGCTTTCATCCTTCTAGCAACTTCACACATTTTGCTATGGCCTTGGGGCGCCTGCATGTTGGGGCCCTGCCTGCCTCTTGTTCAACCAGATTCCTTCGTCCTCCCCAGCCCCAGCCCCAGGCCCCCTTTCTCTTTGTTCCCTGGCCATGCTTAGCTGGGTCAATTCCGTCTTTGCTGGGGACCTTTGCATGGCTCCTCCTCTTTGCCTGCCATGTCCCTGCCTTCCAGATCTTTACAGAGTGGGTTTCTTCCCATCCCTCGGGTCTTTGTTTCAATGTTACATCCTTGCAGAGGCTTCTTCTAACCAAACCCCCTCTCCCCACTTCATATCACATGCTGTGACGTTTTAAAATTGTCTTCCGGCCAGGCATGGTGGCGTACGCCTATAATCCCAGCACTTTGGGAGGCCGAGGCAGGCAGATCACCTGAGGTCAGGAGTTCAAGACCAGCCTGGTCAACATGGTGAAACCCTCTCTACTAAAAATACAAAAAAGTAGCCGGGTGTGGTGGTGTGCACCTGTAATTCCAGCTACTCGGGAGGCTGAGGCAGGAGAATCGCTTGAGCCTGGGCGGCAGAGGTTACAGTGAGCAGAGATCGTGCCACTGCACTCCAGCCTGGGCAACAAGAGTGAAACTCCATCTCAAAAAAAAAAAAGAAAGCAAATTTTCTTCCGCGGGTGTTTCACTCTGTAATTCTCATTTGTTTGCTAGTTTATCACCTGTCTCTCCCATTGAATGTCAGTTCGTGGGGGCTGGGATTGCTGTCTGCTTTGTTCACTGCGGTGTCCCCAGTTCTCACAACAATGCTTGCCACATTGTAGAGGCTGCATCAATTTTTTTTATTGATTGAGTGAATGGATTAAAGAATGAATTTTTTAAAAACTATAACACAAGAGCAAATGAGTCAAAGCAAAAAAGTGAACTAAGGCAATGAAGAAATGAAGGAGTGAATGAAGAGGCCTGGTCCTTGGGATCCCGAGGACGCTACCCTCAAACGACTCCCCATAAACGCCAGCCCCAGAGGCCCTGCATGGGGAGCCGGTGCAGAGGCCCGATGCATCCACCTTGCCCGTCCACAGGCAGCCTCTCGTCCAGCAAGGCATCCCAGGACCGAAAGCTGACGTCGACGCCTCGTGAGATCGCCAAGTCCCCGCACAGCACTGTGCCCGAGCACCACCCACACCCCATCTCGCCCTATGAGCACCTACTTCGGGGCGTGAGTGGCGTGGACCTGTATCGCAGCCACATCCCCCTGGCCTTCGACCCCACCTCCATACCCCGCGGCATCCCTCTGGACGCAGGTGATTGCCCCGGGGCTCCCAGAACCCTGCGGTGGTGCTGCACAGGGCCAGGGACCTCATCAGTGTTCCCTCAGGGACTCCTTAGGCATCAACTGTCAGGTTCCCCTGGATGGGGAAACTGAGGCCTCGAGATTGGAAGACCCAACAGTGTAATCATGACCAGCTTAGGTTGGAACAGAATTTCTCTTAGTAGTTTGCAGGACATGTGGGGTTAAACATTTCAGTGGTTTTCTTTTCCTGCAGGACTGATCAGTGCCTTTAGCAATGCAGTGGTATCGAATGAGGACTTGTGTATATGCGTTTTTCAAATAGACATGATCTGAAAATCTTTTTAAAATGTCGCATCCCTTTAGTGTGTTCACCTGCATGGGGATGTCCTATGTTTGGGACAACTTCCGTGCAAAAAGCATCCTTCATAGAAGTCACCCCCTTGTGTCCTGGGGCCATGTTTTCCTGCTGTCGGGCGCTCAGTTCTGGCTTGTGCTTTGGGCAGCCGCACATGTAGGTGGGAGAAGCTATCCATTGCAGAAGTAGGGGGCATCCAGACAGGTGGAGCGACACCATCAGGCCTAGGTGTGGCTGGCCTCACATGAGCTCCCCTCTGCCCCGCAGCTGCTGCCTACTACTTGCCCCGGCACCTGGCCCCCAACCCCACCTACCCGCACCTGTACCCACCCTACCTCATCCGCGGCTACCCCGACACGGCGGCGCTGGAGAACCGGCAGACCATCATCAATGACTACATCACCTCACAGCAGATGCACCACAACGCAGCCACCGCCATGGCCCAGCGAGCCGACATGCTGAGGGGCCTCTCGCCCCGCGAGTCTTCACTGGCACTCAACTACGCTGCCGGCCCCCGAGGTGCGTGGGCAGGCAGACCACCTCCACTGGGTTTGGCCTTATTCCCAAAGGACATGCGTGTACCCTGTGGCCTTGCAGAGGCAGCTGGACCTGGTCACCTTGTGTGTCACCTTGTGTGAACAGACCTGAGTGGGTGGCCTGGGGTTGTGCATGCCGTGGGTGCTGGTTGGCATCTGGTAGGTGAGTGCCGGCGTGTGCCTCCTGGCTGCATCCTCAGTGGGTGTGCGTGCATCTGTGTATACTCTTAGGATACAGGGGCCTCAGGAGCTTAAAGAAAGATCAAAATGTGGCTGGGCACAGTGGCTCGTGCCTGTAATCCCAGCACTTGGGGAGGCCGAGGCGGGTGGAAAACAAGATCAGGAGTTTGAGACCAGCCTGACCAACGTGGTGAAACCCCGTCTCTACTAAAAATACAAAAATTAGCCAGGCATGGTGATGCGCACCTGTAGTCCCAGCTACTCAGGAGGCTGAGGCAAGAGAATCACCTGAACCCGGGAGGCGGTGGTTGCAGTGAGCGGAGATTGTGCCACTGCACTCCAGCCTGGGGGACAGGGCGAGACTCTGTCTCAAAAAAAAAAGAAAAAAGATGAAAATGTGAGGTGAGGCTGTTTGGAGTTTGTTCCTTTGCCTCGTAAACAGCCCACAGCTGCTTTGCATGCACGTGTTCCAGGGCTGTCCTCAGAAATGCTTCTGGAATAACCAAGTTCTAGTTGGGGTTCAGCTGGAAGAGCCGAAGTCACACTAGGTATTTTGAACATCGTGGGTTGAATACAGGGAATGGATTGTGTAGGTGTGAGAGGCTGAAGGGGCACAGAGGGCCTGAGATGGGAACCAGTGAGAGCAGCTGCAGGAGATGCCGCGGCTCAGGCTTGGGAGCAGAAGAGGAGGTGGGACCGAGAGAACCTGAGCATTCAGGAAAGGGTTCTATGGCTGGTGCTGGGAGCTGAGGAGGGAGTGCCCGCCACCAGCTCTGCTGGCTCCAGGAGTGTGTGCCATGCTCTCCAGGAGGGTGATCTGGCCGGTGGGCAGCCTGGCCTCTCTCCTCCCTGTGGCTACAGCCCTGGCCCAACACCTCCCGCAGGCATCATCGACTTGTCCCAAGTGCCACACCTGCCCGTGCTGGTGCCCCCAACGCCAGGCACCCCAGCCACCGCCATGGACCGCCTTGCCTACCTCCCCACCGCACCCCAGCCCTTCAGCAGCCGCCACAGCAGCTCCCCACTCTCCCCAGGTAGCGCCACCGCCCAGTCCGGGGTGGGGACCCCGGCATCCATGGGAGGTGGCTGGGGATGGGCGGCAGACCCTGCTCTCTCTGCCCCAGCCTAGAAGACAAAGCCAGGCTCTTCTTGGGCCCTGGGGCTGAGTCTCTGGCCTTTGGGTTTCCTAGGAGGCCCCACGCACTTGACAAAACCAACCACCACGTCCTCGTCCGAGCGGGAGCGAGACCGGGATCGGGAGCGTGACCGGGATCGGGAGCGGGAAAAGTCCATCCTCACATCCTCCACAACAGTGGAGCATGCGCCCATCTGGAGGCCCGGTAGGGCATCAGAGCCCCCCACCGCCCCCGCCCCGGGACTCCCTGTGGGCCGCAGGAGGCCTCCCCCTGCTGATGCCACTGCCTGTCACCAGGTACAGAGCAGAGCAGCGGCAGCAGTGGCAGCAGCGGCGGGGGGGGGGGCAGCAGCAGCCGCCCCGCGTCCCACTCCCATGCCCACCAGCACTCGCCCATCTCCCCCCGGACCCAGGACGCTCTCCAGCAGAGGCCCAGTGTGCTGCACAACACAGGCATGAAGGGCATCATCACCGCTGTAGAGCCCAGCACGCCCACGGTCCTGAGGTGGGCCAGGTTGGCACGGGGGAGGGGAGGGGACGGGCGGGTGGATGGGTGGTCAGTAGGAGGATGAGCGGATGAGAGGATGCTTGGTGGGACGTACATGGGAGGTGGGTGGGTGGGCAGATGTGTGGGGGTAGAAGAATAGAGTAGTGTGAGTAGTAGATGGATGGGTGGGTGGTTGGGTTAGGCGGGTGGGTGGGAGGATAGATGGCTCGGTTAGCCAGGTGGATAGATGAATGGGTGGGTGGGTGGGTTAGGTGGGTAAGGTGGGTGGGTGGGAGGATAGATGGCTGGGTTGGCTGGGTGGATGGATGGATGGGTGGGTGATCGGGTTAGGTGGGTAGGTGGATCAGTGGAAGGATAGATGGCTAGGTTAGCTGAGTGGATGGGTGGATGGTCAGGTTAGGTAGGTAGGTGGGTGGGTGGCAGGATAGATAGCCGGGTTAGCCAGATAGATGGATGGATGGGTGGGTGGTTGGGTTAGGTGGGTAGGTGGGTCAGTGGGAGGATAGATGGTTAGGTTAGCTGGGTGGGTGGATGGATTGGTGGGTGGTTGGATTAGGGAGGTAGGTGGGTGGGTGAGAGTATAGACGTCTGGGTTAGCTGGGTGGATGGATAGGTGGGTGGGTGGTTGGGTTAGGGAGGTAGGTGGGTGAGTAAGAGTGTAGATGGCTGGGTTAGCTGGGTGGGTGGATGGATGGGTGGGTGGTTGGATTAGGGAGGTAGGTGGGTGAGTGAGAGTATAGATGGCTGGGTTAGCTGGGTGGGTGGATGGATGGGTGGGTGGTAGGGTGAGATGGATGATGGAATGGATGGTTGGATGAGTAATTGGGGGCATGAGTGGATGGAGGCTCAGGTGGATGGTCGATGGGTTGGGTGGTGGGATGAGTAGGTGGGGAGGTTATTTGGTTTGAGAATAGAATCTGTGGAGAGGGAGAGACTGAATGGGGGCTGTGAGGAAAGGCTTTCCTGGTCCCCCACATTTAGCAAGGCCAGCAAGGAAAAGAGGTGTCCCTCTTGCCTGGACAAAGTCCCAAGTTTCTCTGAGATGGGAGAGGCCCCTGAGTGCCCTTTGGTGACATATACTCCAGAGACTGTGGTCAGAGCTGCTTCACCAGTGGAGTGGGGTCTCTCCTTAACACCCTTCCCTGCCCGGGACTTTTGTTTGTTTGTTTGTTTTTGTTTTTGAGATGGAGTTGTACTCTGTCGCCCAGGCTGGAGTGCAGTGGTATGATCTCTGCTCACTGCAACCTCCGCCTTCCAAGTTCAAGCGATTGTCCTGCCTCAACCTCCCAGGTAGCTGGGATTACAGGCACATGCCACCATGCCCAGCTAATTTTTTTTTTGAGACGGAGTCTCGCTCTGTTGCCCAGGCTGCAGTGCAGTAGCCGGATCTCAGCTCACTGCAAGCTCCACCTCCCGGGTTTACGCCATTCTCCTGCCTCAGCCTCCCGAGTAGCTGGGACTACAGGTGCCCGCCACCTCGCCTGGCTAGTTTTTTGTATTTTTTAGTAGAAACGCAGTTTCACCATGTTGGCCAGGCTGGTCTCAAACTCCTGACCTCAAGTGATCTGCCTGCCTCAGCCTCCCAGAGTGCTGGGATTACAGGCATGACCCACTGCACCCAGCCTCCAGGACCTATTTAGAGGCAACTTACTCCTCCAAAATGAATTTTCATTCAAAAAGTACCCATGCCCCAACTTCCGCTTGAGTGGCTGAAGTCATACCCTCCCCTAATCATGATTCCAACGAAAATGAAAAATGGTATCATTTCCCAAAAGCAGTGGTGACTTTGTCACCCCTGACTCAGAGGCCCAGCAGGTGCATGAAGCACTAACCCCCAGCTGTGGAGAGCAGAGTTCCGCACACAGGCTCTGTGGGATGCACCTGCCCACTGCCCGCTCATGAATGAGGCCCTGGGAGTTAGAGTTAGCGAGAGATGGGGGCACCCCCCCCATGGAAACACAGGGCTCCAGGAAGGCCGAGTGGGTGGAGCAGCCCGCTCCTGTTGCAGCCTCAGCCCTGTGCAGGGGCAGCTGTGCCCCAGCTTCTCACTCACAGAGCTGGGAAGAGCAACGTTCCCTGTTCTCAGCATCCACCCTGGCCGCCCCCCGGGGTCCTTCCTCTTGCTCTCCTGCTCCTCACGTGGCTTTTTTAGCTCCTCCGGTATCCTGAGCAGGCCCAGCTCCCTCGTGTGCCCCCTCCCTGGAGACCTCCTAGCCCTGCCTCAGCTTCCTTGCCCTTCTTTCCTGGCACCTCACTGACTGCCTCCACACAGTTACCAGGCTCTGTAGGGCTTGGGATGTCTGTTAACGTGTTCATAGTCTGTTTTCTGAATTAGATGGTAAGATGCTTGCATCCATTTTATGACCGCTGTATTCACAGTGTCTAGAACAGTGCCTGGCACCTAGTAGCTGCTTAATCAGAAGTTTTGGAAAGATGCAAGGAAGGAATGGACGAATGAGTGGGATAGGTCAAACCATATCACACAGAGTCTGACAGGTTACAGTCAGGAGGGCAGGTTCACTCTGGGAGCAGCAGGGAATGTGGATTTATTCCAGGGCAATGGGGACTCACCGAGGGTGGTGGAGGAAGGGGGCAGCTCCCATGACCGCCTGACTGTCTTCTTTCCTCCCCCAGGTCCACCTCCACCTCCTCACCCGTTCGCCCGGCTGCCACATTCCCACCCGCCACCCACTGCCCACTGGGCGGCACCCTCGATGGGGTCTACCCTACCCTCATGGAGCCCGTCTTGCTGCCCAAGGAGTCTCCCCGGGTCACCCGGCCAGAGCGGCCCCGAGCAGACACCGGCCATGCCTTCCTCGCCAAGCCCCCAGCCCGCTCCGGGCTGGAGCCCGCCTCCTCCCCCAACAAGGGCTCGGAGCCCCGGCCCCTAGCGCCCCCCGTCTCTGGCCACGCCACCATCGCCCGCACCCCTGCGAAGAACCTCGCACCCCACCACGCCAGCCCGGACCCGCCGGCGCCGCCCGCCTCGGCCTCGGACCCGCACCGGGAAAAGACTCAAAGTAAACCCTTTTCCATCCAGGAACTGGAACTCCGTTCTCTGGGTAAGACCACCCTGACAGCGGCCACCTTCATAGACGCGATTATCATGCGTCAAATTGCTCACGATAAAGGGGCGCGAGAAGGAGGTGCGCTGGCCAACGGCTCCCCTCGCGATGGTAAGACTTCCGGCCCGCACCCACCCCGTCTCGTGGTCCAAAGATATTTTCAGATCTCTGCTTTTTACTTTGGCCCTCGTTTTTTTCGTTGTTGGTTTCGGTATTTTGTTTTGAAGCCCGTCCGTCCTCGCCGGTTTGCACGTGCTGACGACTACTCCGGCCGCGCCCGCCCCTCTGGTTTGGGGGCGCTCATCATTTGCACATCATTTTACCATGGTTTTTTTTTTTTTTTTTTTTTTGGATTTTTGCTTTTTTTTCCTTTAATGAATGGATCTGTGATTCTGACTTCGACTGCGCCCCCATCTCCCACTTTGCGCCTGTGTCTGGGGAGCAGGGATGGGGCTGCGGGGGGGCTCAGGCCTATGCCCCCACCTGTCGGCTGCCTGGATGCAGCTGGACTAGGGGGAAGTGGAGGCAGGCGGTGCAGGAGACAGGCGGTGCAGGGAGAAGCTGAGGCGGGGCGGGGGCCTGCACTGTCGAGGAGGAACTGGGCCCAGTTCTTGCATCCTGCCCTGTCCCCAGCCCATGTACCCCAGAAAAAGGGGAACCCTCTGCATCTGGCCCCCTACCTTGGCCCTAGTTCATGGCTCCTCTCTGTTGGACTGGGATGGCCAAGGCTATAGCTCAGGCGGGGCCCGGGGACCCAGGGTCACTCCCAGCCACACCCCCACTTCTCACTCTGCCCCACACACTCCTTCCCCCAGGGACCCACGCTGTCCCTGTCTCACGCTGGCCTCGCCCCGCCTCCACCACCTGAGCCCATCTCTGTCTCTTCTGGCCTCATCTCTCTCTGTGGCTCCATCTCCCTCTGTCTCTGTCTCTCCCAGGCTTTGCATCTCTCTCCATCTCTCTCCACCTCTCCCTTGGCCTCCCTCTCTCTCCCCAACACCCCTCTCTGCCTTACTTTCTTTGGGTGCCCAAACCCTACCCCTAGCTTGCGTTCCCTTTGACCCCACGGGGATCCAGCCAGCTGGGAGGACAGCCCTGCCCCTCGGACCCCGAGCCCCTGGGCCTGGTGCCTGACTCTGCACCCCGCCTGCCCTAGGTTACCACGGCAGCAGCTACAGCCCTGAAGGGGTGGAGCCCGTCAGCCCTGTGAGCTCACCCAGCCTGACACACGACAAGGGGCTCTCCAAGCACCTGGAAGAGCTGGACAAGAGCCACCTGGAGGGGGAGCTACGGCCCAAGCAGCCAGGTACGCCCCGCCCAGTACCCAGGCCCCAGAAACCCTGCACAATGAGGACCCTCACGGCCCCATCACGCAGATGGGAAAAGAGAGGTGCCTAAAGGCCAAGGAATCAGCTGGGTCATGAGGCTCAAAGGCACAGGGCTGGGATTTGGGCCCAGCAGCCCTGGGGCCAGCAGACACCCCCTGACCAGCTCTTCTCTGCCTGCAGGCCCCGTGAAGCTCGGCGGGGAGGCCGCCCACCTCCCACACCTGCGGCCGCTGCCCGAGAACCAGCCCTCATCCAGCCCGCTCCTCCAGACTGCCCCGGGGGTCAAAGGTCACCAGCGGGTGGTCACTCTGGCCCAGCACATCAGTGTAACTACGTGTTCTCTGCCACACCTTGTCATCCTTGCCCCTGGGGGCACCGGGCCTGGAGAGGGGATGGGGAACCCCACAGCCCCTCTGTCCTGGCGGGGTGGCTGGGGGATCCAGGGCGTGGGTGAGGGTGAGATCCCAGAGCCCCGAGCACCCATACCATCACCACCCCCTCATCCATGGGTGGAGCCTGCGATGCGAGCCAACAGCATCTTCACGGGCAATGAAGCCCTCCTGGTGGCCCGGGTTTCTCAGTGTCATGGCTGGTCATATCAGCCATCTGCCAACTACCAGCTTGGGACCACTGACCACAGCCCGACTCCCATGCACCCGGGGACACGGAGGCCCAGAGGGTGGCGGGCAGGTCCACAGTCACCCAGGAAGCTGGCCCCAGCCAGGATTCTTCCCCAAGCTCCATCTAGCCCCTCCCCACCCCCAGAAGGTTCTGGCAGGAGGGTGCTGCCTGACCCTGGGCCCCCCACTTGCCTGCAGGAGGTCATCACACAGGACTACACCCGGCACCACCCACAGCAGCTCAGCGCACCCCTGCCCGCCCCCCTGTACTCCTTCCCTGGGGCCAGCTGCCCCGTCCTGGACCTCCGCCGCCCACCCAGTGACCTCTACCTCCCGCCCCCGGACCATGGTGCCCCGGCCCGTGGCTCCCCCAACAGCGAAGGGGGCAAGAGGTGAGCGTGGGATCGGGGTGCCTCTTGCTGGTCAGCCGGTGGGAGGCCTTCGTCAGCTGCCTGCCTCAGAGCTGGGTCTGAGCTCAGCTGCATACGAGGCCCGCCTGGTGCCATTGCACAGGCAAGAAATGGAAGCTCCGGGAGATGGGGAAGTCACAGAGCGGATACATAACCAATAATAGCCGATAAAAGTGCACACTGTGCCCAGTGGGTTCCAGGCACTCAATGTGTACCCTTTACACACAGCCCCCAGGAGACACAGGCAGCATTCTCCCCATTTCACAGATGAAGAAACTAAGGCCTGGAGACGTGAATTCACTTGCCCACAGGGACACAGTCAGTAGGTGACAGCGGGGGTTTGATCCAGGGCTGTATGATTAGAGAGCAGCCTTTCCACACATGCACACACACACGCACACCTGTCAGTGCACACACACGCACATGCTCACGCACACTCCCACCCTTGTGAACCCTGGGGCCTCTGGGGGTCCAAAGAGGAAGAGGGGGAGGGCCCTGAGCTCCAGGGTGAAGGAGGCATTTTGGTGGGGGCGGCAGGGAATGTGTGTGTGAGGACAGATATGGTAAGACAGCAGGACATCTTTGGGGGACAGTGGTGTAGCTGGCACTGGGGTCCAACCAGAATTCAGAGCAGGGGTCAGTAAACTATGGGCCATGGGCCACATCTAGCCTGAGCCCTGTTTTTGTACAATTCATGAACTAAAATGATGATTTTACATTTTTAAAGAGTTGTTTTAAAAAATAAAAATAATAACAATACGTGCCAGAGATTACTTGTGGTCGAAAATACCTAAAACGTTTATGATTTGGCCAGGTACAGGAAAGCGTGCGGGGCCCTGGTTTAGAGTGGAGGAGTGCGTCCCCTCAGGAGGGAGACCTCTGACCATATCTGGGGCCCTTTCTCCCTCCAGGTCTCCAGAGCCAAGCAAGACGTCGGTCTTGGGTGGTGGTGAGGACGGTATTGAACCTGTGTCCCCACCGGAGGGCATGACGGAGCCAGGGCACTCCCGGAGTGCTGTGTACCCGCTGCTGTACCGGGATGGGGAGCAGACAGAGCCCAGGTACTTCTGTGGGCAGATGGACTGCCCCTGAGATGCTCTGGTATCAGCTCCTTGCCCATCCTTGGCCCCAGTCCACCATGGTGCTGTGTGGAGAGGGACAAGGGCACAGGGCTCAGCTGGGTGACCTCGAGCCTGCTAAGCAAGTTTCGCCAACTTGGGGGTGTAATACATGCCCACCCTCCCTGGGGAGACCTCAGTGGTAGCTTTCCGTGCCTTGGGCTGGGATCTCAGCTGGTCCAGGCCCCTGTTGCCGGCCCCTGTTGAACCTCTAAGAAATAATGAGCTAGGTGTGCTGGGCCAGACTGGGGGCAATGGGTGAAGTGGGGCCTGAGAAGGAAGCTGGGGCTGCTGGCCTTGGGGAAGGGCATGATCGGAACCCAGTTTCAATCCTTGGGGCTCTCTTGAGAGGGTCAGGCTGGAGCAAGTGGTCAGAGGCAGCCCACCACGCAGCCAGGCGTCTCCCAAGACACCCCTAGCCCCGGGATGGGTGAACCACAGAGGAGATTTCAGGAGCCGTGATCTTCTACCAGGCAGGGGATGCAGGCGTGGGGATGGGTGAAGCTTGCTTCCAAATGTCTAAGGCATCTCAGGTGGTGAGCTCCCTGTCATCAAAGGCATGCAAGCTCAGCACCAAGTGAACTGATGTGAGGTGTCTGATCCTCACAGCAGGATGGGCTCCAAGTCTCCAGGCAACACCAGCCAGCCGCCAGCCTTCTTCAGCAAGCTGACCGAGAGCAACTCCGCCATGGTCAAGTCCAAGAAGCAAGAGATCAACAAGAAGCTGAACACCCACAACCGGAATGAGCCTGAATACAGTAAGGGGCCTGCAGGCTCCCGGGGAAGCATGGGGCCACGGGTGGGGGGGTGGCCTGCCTGGGTCGCTGGAGCCGCCCAGTAGCAGAAACCCACGGTGCACCTTCGAAAACTAAGTGGCCCTGCTGCCGCCTTCCCCCAGGCCCTTAGCCTCACCTTTGGGGAGCCCTAGGGCAGTTTCTTGATTTGCTGGGCTTTCCATAGGAGCTTCCTGGCACAGAATAGCACCCAGCACATGGCAGGTGCCCAGTGAATACCTGCATGAATACTGGGACCAGGGGTTGGGTCCCTCCCACATAAGGGCTGGGCGCCTCCCACACTCAGCACCTGTGTGGCTTTGCACCCATTGACGTGGTTTCTGGGTATGAACATCCCACTCTGCTTCCCAGTACCTAGCACAGGGCCTGGCACTTAGCAGATCCACCAGAGAATATGTGAGTGGGTGGGCAAATAAAGATTCTGTCATAGTCCCTGACCCCAAGAAGCCACATCTGCCAGGGAAGTTTGGGCAAATCACAGATGCTCTTCCCTTCGTGGGGCTGGAGTAGAAACTTTGCAGATAGTCACTGGCTTGCCGGGCATGGTGGCTCATGCCTATAGGCCCAGCACTTTGGGAGGATGAGGCAGGAGGGTTGCTTGAAGCCAGCAGTTCAAGACCAGTCTGTGCAACATAGCAAGACCCCACCTCTATAAAAAATTTAAAAACCAGGCACACACCTATAGTCCCAGCTACTGGGGAGGCTGAGATGGGAGGATTGCTTGAGCCTGGGAGGTCAAGGCTGCAGCGAGCTATGATCACACCACTGCACTCCAGCCTGGGCAACAGAGCAAGAAGTTGTCTCAAGAAAAAAAAAAAAAAATCTCTGACCCAGGCTGGTAACTCCAGGGCCTTGTAAGTATGGTCCAGGGAACCGTAGCATCAGCATCCCCAGGGTACGTTGACATCCCCAGGGTACTGGTTAGAAATGCAGGCCCTTGGCTGGGCGCGGTGGCTCACTCCTGTAATCCCAGCACTTTGAGAGGTCGAGGCAGGTGGATCATCTGAGGTCAGGAGTTCGAGACCAGCCTGACCAACATGGTGAAACCCTGTCTCTACTAAAAATACAAAAATGAGCCAGGTGTGGTGGCAGGTGTCTGTAACCCCAGCTACTCAGGAGGCTGAGGCAGGAGAATCACTTGAACCTGGGAGGCGGAGGTTGCGGTGAGCCAAGATTGCACCACTGCACTCCAGCCTGGGTGACAGAGTGAGACTCTATCTCAAAAAAAGAAAAGAAAAAAGAAATGCAGACCCTTGGCCCTGTCCCAGGCCTGCTGCATCAGAACCTGCGATGAACAAGATTCCCCAGGTGATGCCAGCACACCTGGCCTGGACCACACAGGACTGGTAGGGCAGGTGATTCCCAGAGACCTGGGGGCCTCACCCATTCTGTCACCCGCTTCCAGATATCGGCCAGCCTGGGACGGAGATCTTCAATATGCCCGCCATCACCGGAACAGGTAACCCATCCAGCCCTTGCTATATGGCCGCCCAGGTCCCCGGCGCTCTCTCCCCACCCCTGCTCCAGCTGTCATTAAGGGACGAGGAGCCTTCGCTAGTCCAAGTGCACCCCCTCATTCTGGGATGAACTAACCGCACAGCAGGATTCAGTCACACAACAGGCAGGCGAGGCTTGTTTCCCTTGTAGAAAGGACCCTCGCTGTGCAGGGAGTCTCTGGAGTTAAGATCCCCTCGGGTGGTTAGTAAGTGTCAGATGCATCCTCACCAGCTGGAAACTCACCTTGCTTCTTCACCAGTCTCAGCTGGAGATGTGCGTGTCTGGACAAGGAGTGGGCCTGAGCTCAGAGCACAAGCCTCCGAGTTCACCCGGGCATTTGTTATAGCCAGAGCTTCATTCCTTAATTCCAGCCAGGGAACTGGGAGGCCTTTTTTTTTCAAGATCAAATGCAGGTGTGTGGCAGAGATAGGTATAAAATTGACATGCACTTTTAAGCTGAAACTTAAGACTTCTATGATCTTTTGGACTTAGGGGTCCCTTGGGGTTGGAGCCCCATCCTCTAGGAGGGCCCCATTGTGTATTTCCTTGGTGAGTCTGGGGTGTGGCCTCCGGGGGCCACTCCGCATGGGCAGGCCTGGCCCAGTGGGGCTGAGGCAGTTTCGGGGTCAGCTGCCTCTGTGTGAGTGCCTGGTTGTCCTCTGGCCCTTTGGTGGAAGCCGAGGCCGGGATGGAGGTCGGAGAGGTTTCCTGATCTTCCCCGGGGGACGTTCCCGGGCCTTGAGCCCTGGGAATGAGCAAAGGACAGTCATTCAGATAGTATCAGGGTCATCAAGGCCTCTAAATGGGAGTCCCAACTAGGACACCTCCACCCGCCTAGTGACTAGACACCAGGGGCTTTGCCAAGCCTCAGGCAATGGGAAGAAGACAATTTGGTCGAAACAACAAGAGGGTTAGAAATGAATGTTCCTGGGATGTTCTAAATCTTTAAGCAGGTGCTAGACACGCAGGTGTATCTGTATGTACAAATTCATGGCATGGTACAATGAAGATTTATGCTAACACTTGTATATAAATACTTGGTATTTATTTTTTTAAGACACGGTCTTTCTCTGTCACCCAGGCCAGAGTGCAGTGGTGTGATCACGGCTCACTGCAGCCTCTGCCTCCCAGGCTTAGATGATCCTCCTATCTCAGCCTCCTGAGCAGCTGGGACTACAGGCACACGCCACTGCACCCAAATAATTTTTTAACTTTTTTGTAGAGACGGGCTCTCGATATGTTACCCAAGCTAGTCTTGAACTCCTGTCCTCAAGCTGAGGATCCTCCCACCTCAACTGAAATTTTTTTTTTTTTTTTTTGACAGAGTTTTGCTCTGTCACCCAGGCTGGAGTGCAGTGGTGCAATCTCGGCTCACTGCAGCCTCTGCCTCCCAGGTTCAAGCAATTCTTCCACTTCAGCCTCCCAAGTAGCAGGATTACAGACACCCGCCACTACACCTGGCTAATTTTTGTGTTTTTAGTAGAGACGGAGTTTCATCATGTTGGCCAGGCTGATCCCGAACTCCTGACGTCAGATGACCCACGTACATTGGCCTCCCAAAGTGCTAGGATTACAGGCGTGAGCAGCCGCACCCGGCCTGATTTTTTCTTTTTATGCAGTTTTCGTCCACAAGAAGAAATTTTCCAGGCGCCAGTCTTTGCCACTCAGCCTGTGTCAGACTTCGCCTTTATAAATGGAGATTGTTAAGCCTGGAGCCAGCTCCATCAGGTCATGGACTCATGGCCTTGGGTAGAAGACCGGGTCACGCTGCTGTGATTTCAGCACTCACCCCTGTTGGAAATGTTGCTTTTTCTTCATGCACATGGCTGTTTTTTTTAAAGGGCTGCAGAAATGTGGCCAAGACAGCAGAAAAGGTGTGAGCATCCCTGGCTACAAACGCATTTGAAACCAAAAGGGAAAAGAAAACGCAGGCAGCCAGCAGTTGCTACAGAAACGTGATTTTCAAAGCATCTGCGTCACCTGCAACCTCATGGAAGCCTCAGTTTAGTTTACAAAGGAGCAAGTGGTCAGAAAGACGATTTGACCACTTTGTATTCATACAATTCATTCAGAGCAGAAGTTTAAAAATCCATCAACCTCTTGCCCCGTGGTAGGCAGGGTGGGATGGGGATTCACTGGGGGCTTTTGAAAGCAAAGTCTGGTTTGGTTTCACAAAAATTCTGAAAAGACAGCACCTATGGGGGTTTGTAAAGGTCCCCCACCTCCACATGGTTCACAAGAAAGAAAGAATGGAAAGGAAATCTGGTTCACAGAAAAGGTTTCCCACGATTGTCAGGGGATGTTCTGAAAGCATCCTCTTGGGACCGGTTTGTTGATTCGACCACTTTGTCCTTGGGACTGGGTGGCTGGGCCAGCTGGGGCCGGACCAGGGCTGGTCCCGTGATTGTGTCTACCTCTGCCCTGTCCCCTGCACGCACCGTAACTGCATGGCTACGACCTCGCCCTCAGCATCCGTCTCTGCACCTCTTTCTCCTCGTGGCTCCTGGGTGGGGAGAGGTGGAGGGAGGAGAGTAGGCCCAGCTTGTGGGGGAGGCAGGGGGCTGCACATCCCAGGTCACACAGGTGGAGGTGGGGCAGCGGGAGGACCATCTGGTCACCTTCTCTCTCTCAGTTCCTTCCCCAGCCCCCCGCCAGCCCCCAGCTCTGGCTTGACCCAATTTTCTAGCAGCCTGTTCCCCAAACAGGGCAGCCCTCCCATCTCCCACCCTCTCCATTAAGGCCACTTGGGATTTAAAAAAAAAAAAAAAAACAGCCCAGCTAGGATTGGAGGTGCAGACAGGGCTTGTGATTTCCCAGAGGACAGAATAGGAATGAGGATGGGACTGGCGGGGGCATCTGACCTCCCCCACCCCACCTCCCTGGCAGTGCCCAAGAGCTTCCGGGGCCCCAGGTAGAAGGAACCAGCCTCTCCCCTTTTATCACCACCCAGCAGGAAAAAAAAAGGGTGGGGAGGGATAGGGAAATAAATATGTTGCTTTGCCGAAATGTGCTCACTGTGTATTTCTCTCTCCTCCTCCTCCTCCTCCTCCTCCTCCCCCCCTCTCTCTCTCCCTTCTCTCTCTCCGTCACCCCTCTGGCTCCCCCTCCCCGGCCCCCATGTGTCTGTCTGTCTGTCTGTCTCTCTCTCCCAGGCCTTATGACCTATAGAAGCCAGGCGGTGCAGGAACATGCCAGCACCAACATGGGGCTGGAGGCCATAATTAGAAAGGCACTCATGGGTAAATATGACCAGTGGGAAGAGTCCCCGCCGCTCAGCGCCAATGCTTTTAACCCTCTGAATGCCAGTGCCAGCCTGCCCGCTGCTATGCCCATAACCGCTGCTGACGGACGGAGTGACCACACACTCACCTCGCCAGGTCTGCAGGCCACCTCCGCCCCGCCCCCGTCTGTCCCCACCCCCGGTGTGATTAATCCTCGCTCCTCCGCGCTCCTCTGACAACCCCCTCCTCAAGCTTTGGAGCTTGTGACTTTATTTTTGTGCGTGTTTGACCTTGTTCTGGAGTTTGCTAATCTGAAGCTGGGCTGACACCCCCCAAGTGTCTGCACCCTCCGCCACCCCCCAGCCCCGGCCCTCCTGACCACTAGGCCCGAAGTGCTGCCGCCTCCCTCGGACACTCACACTGCCGTCTGCCCCCTAGTCCTGCTGCCTTCCTCCCTGCAGGGAGCCAGCCTCCTGGCCCGTCTGTCTCCTTGGGGGAGACCAGGCTGGAGTGAAGGCCCACCCACACCGCGTGGACAGGGGGATGGCAGCCAGGCCTGTGCTCAGCATCTGCCAGGCCCACTGTGTGTCCACAGCTGCCCCTTAGCCTGGTGGGGAGGAGCCCAGGGTCTGTGTCAGCCCCGGGAGTCAGGGAGCCTTAGGGGTCAGCCCCCCATCTGCCTGGGTCCCCATCAATACCGTCTGTATCAGAGCAGGGAGCTGAGGAGAGAGTTGCAGTTGTCCAACCTAGACACTGAAGCCCCAGGAAGCTTCTGGAGTCTCCCTGGGGGTCAGGCCTGGCCTCAGGGGTCCTGACTTCTCTGCACGGGGCCTGGAGCTTGCCTAGCCTTAGCATGGTCCTGGGGCCATGCTCAGAGTCAAACCGGAAGCCCAGGCTTCATGGTTAGGGTTCCAGCCCCTGGGGCTGGGGTCGCTGCAGGACAGCCCAGGGGGCTTTTGCGAACAGCAGACAGTTTAGCCACCTCCCTCCACCCTGCAGAAACTGAGCTCCACCCTCCAGGCTCATGGCTGGCCCTCTGGTCAAGCCTGGCTTCCCAGCTGGGGTGGGCAGCAGGGAGGAGGGGTTTACATCGCTGCTCTCCCTCTTTGGAGGGCCCATGGCAGGACCTCACCCCGCCCCCGTGGCCCCACCGCAGTGTCAGTGCTGTCTTCACTGCCCAACACAGCCCCTTCCCATCTTGTCCCCCTGCAGGCGGCGGCGGGAAGGCCAAGGTCTCTGGCAGACCCAGCAGCCGAAAAGCCAAGTCCCCGGCCCCAGGCCTGGCGTCTGGGGACCGGCCACCCTCCGTCTCCTCAGTGCACTCAGAGGGAGACTGCAACCGCCGGACGCCGCTCACCAACCGTGTGTGGGAGGACAGGCCCTCGTCAGCAGGTGGGCACCAGGTGGGGACAGGGCACTGAATGCTGAGCGCCTGCTGCGTGCAGAGCTCAGACGCAGGCCTGTTCTGTGGAGATGCTGTCCAGGGGCCTGGGCGGCTGAGCCTGGCTCATGAACGGTCAGCATGCTTCCTCCAGGGGCTCCGGCAGAGGAAAAGGGTGTGGCTGGGGTCAGATCACCTGGGCCTGGTGGGCCATGCAGGGGAGCCTGGACTTCCTCTGATGGGTAGTGAGGAGCCATGGAGGGCTTTCGGAAAGGAAATGCTGATCTAACACAGGGTCAGAAGGCCCCTGGGAGAACAGACCAGAGGGATGGTGAAGAGGCTACTCTAGTCCAGGCAGAAGACAGCAGGGTGTGAACGGGGATGGAAGTAGCACAGGTGAAGAGAGGCAGATGGTTCTGAGAGCTGTTCGCAATTAGAAAGGGCTGGGAGGGCTGTTGGACAGAACCGCTAAGGCCTCTGTTCCCAGTGTGGTGGGCAGGCCGCGGGCAGGGCCTGCCGGGCTCACAGAGGCCTCCTGGGCATCTTTTGCTTCTTCCCACAGGTTCCACGCCATTCCCCTACAATCCCCTGATCATGCGGCTGCAGGCGGGTGTCATGGCTTCCCCACCCCCACCGGGCCTCCCCGCGGGCAGTGGGCCCCTCGCTGGCCCCCACCACGCCTGGGACGAGGAGCCCAAGCCACTGCTCTGCTCGCAGTACGAGACACTGTCCGACAGCGAGTGACTCAGAACGGGGGAGGGGGGCGGTGTCAGGTCCCAGCGAGCCACAGGAACAGCCCGGCAGGAGCAGGGTGGGTGCCGACTCCCCCCAACGAGGAAGGAGCCCCTGAGTACGCCTGCGCCTCCATCCATCCGTCCGTCCAGAGCCGGCATCCTTGCCTGCCTAAAGCCTTAACTAAGACTCCCGCCCCGGGCTGGCCCTGTGCAGACCTTACTCAGGGGATGTTTACCTGGTGCTCGGGAAGGGAGGGGAAGGGGCCGGGGAGGGGGCACGGCAGGCGTGTGGCAGCCACACGCAGGCGGCCGGGGCGGCCAGGGACCCAAAGCAGGACGACCACGCACCTCCACGCCACTGCCTCCCCCAAATGCATTTGGAACCAAAGTCTAAACTGAGCTCGCAGCCCCCGCGCCCTCCCTCCGCCTCCCATCCCGCTTAGCGCTCTGGACAGACGGACGCAGGCCCTGTCCAGCCCCCAGTGCGCTCGTTCTGGTCCCCACAGGCTGCCCCAGCCAACGAGATTGCTGGAAACCAAGTCAGGCCAGGTGGGCGGACAAAAGGGCCAGGTGCGGCCTGGGGCGAACGGATGCTCCGAGGACTGGACTGTTTTTTTCACACATCGTTGCCGCAGCGGTGGGAAGGAAAGGCAGATGTAAATGATGTATTGGTTTACAGGGTATATTTTTGATACCTTCAATGAATTAATTCAGATGTTTTACGCAAGGAAGGACTTACCCAGTATTACTGCTGCTGTGCTTTTGATCTCTGCTTACCGTTCAAGAGGCGTGTGCAGGCCGACAGTCGGTGACCCCATCACTCGCAGGACCAAGGGGGCGGGGACTGCTGGCTCACGCCCCGCTGTGTCCTCCCTCCCTCCCTTCCTTGGGCAGAATGAATTCGATGCGTATTCTGTGGCCGCCATCTGCACAGGGTGGTGGTATTCTGTCATTTACACACGTCGTTCTAATTAAAAAGCGAATTATACTCCAGTTACAAAGGTTTCTTCTCTGCCTCACACTGGGCAGCCAATAGGGCAGGCAGCTGGGGTTTAGAGGACAGTGGGAGTATACCCTTGAAGGGCTAAGGCCACATCCCTCTGAGTCACCAGGAAGTGGATCCTTTTGTGAGTTGAATATTTATACCCTTGGTAAGGACATCACGAGGGCATCAAATAGTCACATCTGTGGTGAAGGTATCAAGTGTTCACACCCATGCTGCGTGTCAGATGTTCACATGGGTTCACACGCATGTGTCAGGTATTCACACAGGGTGTCATTCACACTCATGGTGAGAGGGTGTCAGGTATTCACACCCATGTATCATGTATTCACACCATGGTGAGGGTGTCAAGTAGTCACACCCATGGTGTCAGATGTTCATACTCATGGTGTTATTCATACCATGGTGAGGGTGTCAGATGTTCACACTCATGGTGTCAGGTGTTACACCATGGTGTCAGGTGTTAACACCATGGTGAGGGTATGTTTACACTCATGGTGTCAGGTATTCACACCATGGTGAGGGTGTCAGATGTTCACTCATGGTGAGAGGATGCCAGGTATTCACACTCTTGTGTCAGGTATTCACACCATGGCAAGGGTGTCAAGTAGTCACACCCATGGTGAGGGTGTCAGATGTTCACACTCATGGCAAGAGTATCAAATATGCACAAGGTGAGGGTGTTGGGTATTCACACCCATAGTGAAGGTATCTAATATTTATACCTGTGGAGTCCAGAATGGCCATCACATCCTAATTGGAGTCTTTTAATGTCATCCCTGCCCATGGAGATCATGATAGGGGATGTCTCGGTGTGATTTGAATACAGGCAGGAGAGAGAGCAACGCCTGCCAGCTCGTTCAGTTGCCTCTTGAGTTCAGGTGTACCACATCTTGGGTGTGCCCTGTCTTGTGCCCACAGCATCCCTTCTGGAGCAGAGTGAAACCTGGGAATGACCACAGTTCTTTGCTATTGACCCAGTCACCCTTGGCCTTGTCCCTCAGTGCCAGTGGCCTGGCCCTCCCCTTCATTTTCCTGCCCTTTCCCTATGCTGCCACAGCAGCACAGCTGTCCCTCTACACTTCCCCAAAGCCTGACACCACAGCTGGTGCCTGGTCCCATGTGCAGTGTCAGTCCCCGGAGCCAGATTGGGTGGCTGAGCTGGAAGAGACTTCATTTGCCCACTGGCCCCCAGGTATAGCTACAGGTGCCCTGGCATGGGGAGTGCACTGGGGGCCCCTGTGGAGCCACTGCCTGCTTTCCTAGAGGGAGGAAGCCCACCCCTGCCCTGGAGCTTCCCCTGCTGGTTCGGAGTGGCTTGAAGCCTCCCACTAGGGCTTCCATCTGGACAGCCCCATCACAACCTCTTAGCCATTCTATGTCCCCAAGTCCATGGGGACAGCGCTGGCCTGAGTGTGGCCTCTGAGGCCTGCCCCCATCCTAGAGCAGAGGTCAGAGAACCTTTCCACTTGGCAGAGCCATGAGGTCAGCTCTGCCCCAATGGCATTCCTGGAGCCACTGTAGAGTGAAGACCCCCAGTTCGTGTCCCACTCCACCCAAGACCCACCAGACGTGTGGACAGTTGGCAGCTAGGAAACGCCTGCCCTGCGAAAGCTGAGTCCTTCTGCTGGGTGGGTTCCTAGGATGGCGCCAGCTTCTCAGGCCCCTAAAACCTTTGGGAGTGCAAAGCGGATGGGAGGTGGGCCCTCTGCCCCTCATGGGCACAAGATAACCTGCAAAGCAGGGCATTCTCTCTTCGCTCTTCCTTCAGAACTGCATCTGAGTCATGCTAAGCGTGGGAGTCCCAGGGTCCTGGAATTCTGCCTGTCCCCATCCCTCAGCCTTCAGGCCCAGGCAGTCTGGGGTGCTGGCCTCAATTCACCCAGAAACAGGCAGTCCCAAATCCCCAAAGAGGGCCGACCCGGGCCCAGCTACTGGTGAGCAGGGACAAAGAGGTAGTGCTGGCACAGATGGGACCCAGCCTTGGGGACTCTGATGGGGATTTGCCAGCAAGGATGGCTGAAGCTGGGGGTCCCTGGCCCTGTGCTGGTGTCTGAGCAGCCTCACATCCAGCACTGCAGATACCAGCCCTGCAGGACTGAGGGGCAATGGAGGGGAGAACCACAGTCCACTGGAAGCAGAAATTGTCACCTCCTACCCCAACCTTCCCAGGGGACCAAAAGCCTCCAGGGCCCAGGCTTGCCCAGAGTCCTGCCTCCCCTGGAGTGGGGAACAGGGAGGAGGGGCATCCTCAGGGGCTCTGCCCAGCCTCACTGGCTCTCAGTATCCCACCCTGATTACTGTGCCCAGGGTAAAAATAAGCTGAAGCCTTGGGCCTATGCAGGACCTGGATTCCAGCTTGGTGACTGCGATCTATGTGAACCTGGGGACGTTTCGGGTGCCCTCTGGGCCTTGGTTTCTCATCTGTGCACTGGGCTCTAATGGCGTCCCAACAGGGCTGAGCCTGGCACCGGGCTGTAGTTCTGAGGCCGGCAGACAGATGGCAGTGTGGGGCTGGCAAAGAGCCCTGTCCCGGGCAGTCCTGCCCTCCACCCAGGGCAGAGCGGCCCCCACCCGGAATCCAGGATGGGTTGGGGTGTTGGTCATGCCAGCCGCCAGGGGTTGCCCACTCACACTGGTGAGGCCCAAGATCCCACAGCACCTTGTTCAGCCACCAGTGAGACGGAGAGATGGGAGTGGACCACAGGGCTCAGCCCAGCCCCCATCTCTGTGCCTCTAAATTGGTACCACTCAGCACCACGGCATGTCTTCTCTGAGGACCAGGGACTCAGACCCAACCCAGGCGGTTGTTTGCAGGTGCATGGAAAGCTTGCAGCCTGCTGCCCTCAGAGGGTCCACTCCGTCTCCCAGCTACAGTCAGTTGGTTCTCAACCTTCAAAGAGGTCATCCCACTTAACCCCCAAAGAAAGATGTCATCTACCTATCCCCAAAGAGGTCATCCACCTACCCCCAAAGAAAGATGTCATCCACCTACCACCAAAGAGGTCATCCCACCTACCCCCAAAGAGGTCATCCTACCTACCCCCAATGAAAAACGTCATCCCACTTACCCCCAAAGAAAGACGTCATCCCACTTACCCCCAAAGACATCATCCCACCCCTGTCTTGTGTGGCTTTTTCACTGCTCCATCTTTAAAATGAAGACTCATGCTATTCCCCTGACCCCTATCTCCCTGGAAAACCCCATACACACTTCAAAACCCAGCTGGGGCGTTACTTCCTTGAAGAGCACACTACCCTGACCTAGCTTCTCTCCCCGCTGCGTCTCTGATAACAGTGCAATCCTTGTCTCAAATCCGACAGAACCCTTGGGGGCAGAGCTCTTGTCTTTCCCCTCCTGACCCTGTCTTTGGCTGTGAACCTCCCTGGCAAGTGTGTTGTGAACTGACGCTGTGAGTGTCTAGTTCTCAGTAGAAAGCTAGAAAGAGCTCTGTAAAGGACAGTTGGTGGCAAACGTCACCATGTCTTAGGATGTCGGGAAGTTGGTTAAATGCAGATTCCTGGGTCCACCTAGACAGTCTGATGCTCTAGGTCCAGGGTGGGGCCCAGGAATCTGTGTTTTCAACAAGCAGCCCAGGGGTTTCTGGTGGGAGTAGTTGGCGACCCTCACTATGATGGCAGGGACGGTGCCCAAGATTGGAACTAGGCCCTCACCTGGAACCTGGCTCCTTCACTTCCATCTGATCAGGAGGTCTCCAGTAAGTGCGCAAAAGTCTCTGTAGAAGGAGTCCTGGCCACTAGCCTGAAGAGCTGCTGCCCATAGGGCAGCAACGGACTGGTCCCGAAGACCCTTGGGTTGGCTCCGGACAAGCCTTCCTGGGATGACACAGATAAACTGGAGCAGTCCGGGTGGCTTCCTGGAGGAGGCAGGTCTAGGGAAAGGAATAGGCTAAGAGGAGAAAACCTGTGTGGCAATGGCTGGGAGGTGAGGCCCAGCCAGGGACCCTTGGGAGCCCACCACCATGGGCTGGACGTGAGTCCCTGTGGGGGCCCAGGAGTGTCTGGGGCGGTGAGCCGTTGCTTAATAAGGTAACTTGCCGGTTTTCTGAAATCGGGGCAGTTTTGTCTCGCAAGGGTGCTGATGGATTGTGAGAGAGAATTAGACCTGGGAGGCCAGTGTGGGACCAGGATAAGGGACTGGCACAGCGCAGAGGCCAGGACACAGCCCCCTCGCCCTGGGGAGGGGGTCGGGGACCGGACACCATGGTGTGAGGGGGAGGGGCTCAGAGATCAGCATGATGCAAGGGCAGCGTGTCATGGCCAGCTGCCTGGTCCTGGCCCTGTCGTTCGACCCCACCACGCCTCAGTTTCCCTGGAATGGGGTGGTGATATTGCTCTAGGGAATGACTGCTTCCTAAAAGCTATTGGGTTTTTTTTTTTGGTTTGTTTTGTTTGTTTGTTTGTTTTTACATAGCCACTGTTTGCTCACCTGTATGGGAATCAGATAGTGGCCAGAGGCAAGGGACAAATGCCGAGGTGGGGAGGGAGAAGCTCAGGTGGTCCGCAGCAGTGGCTCGTTTGGAAATCTGGGGAGCTGGTGCTTGTGGAAGGGTTCTCTGGCCATTCTGTCCTTGAGAGGCTAAGGAGGGCCATCGAAGAAAATTCAGTTGTTGTTTACAGATTCTCTAGAAAGCCGAGAGGGCTCAGCAGTCTGCAAGCCACCAGCTGTCCTCACGCGGGCACTTCCTCTGGAGGGAGGCCGGGGACACACGCCTCCTTCGCAGGATCCTCCCCACCCCTGCAGGGCCATCGTGAAGATGAAACAGATTAAACATACGACATGCTCGCGGCAGGGCCAGGCACAGTGTGGGTGCTACGCAGGCCCTGGTTCTTGTTCCCATTCTGGCAAGGAAGAGATGGGACCAGTGTCAAGTTCAATGGACTTGCGGGAAGGAGCACTGTTTGCAGTGCAAGGCAGGGGGCTGCTGAATCTGATTTTAGGTCTGGGAGGTAGAGACCTTTGTAGGGGCCAGCCCTACAGGGTCTGTGGGCCCATATCTAGTATAACTCTTGCTATCTTATGTGTTTTATTACACTGGAACAGCTTGTGCCCTCAGTCTCTTGCCTCGGCACCTGGCTGGCTTGCCGCCCACACACCTTACGCTCATTTTACAGATGCTTAGGGAAGTGACGTGACCTCTTCCTTTTCCAGCAGCGGAGCCCATCCTGTGTCAGTTTCCCCTCCCTGGGGCCTAGTGAGTGACAGGTGCCCTTCTGAGGACATCGCCAAGGTCTTGCATGTGGCACATTGAATCTCGCACATCTGGTGTGCCTGGGCTGGGGGGAGATGGGGAAAGGTGCTATAGCCGGCAGCACCCGAAGGCTGGGCAGTTCAGGACAGCAGCCAGTCTCTGTTTCAGGGGCGGAAATTCCCATGGCCTAGGATCCAGACAGAACCGGTGTCTCTTTCGCCTGTCTCCAGGTATGCTGGGTTCCCCTAGGACAGATGAGCTGCTTCAGGGGAAAAGTATGCATACTTGGGGGCCTTAGAGCAGTTGCCCTTGTCCTCTCCTTCCACCCTGTGCCTGGCTGGGCTTCCCTAGGCCCCTACATGACCAGCAGGCAGGCTGGGCCTCCAGCATCATTAGCAAAGGCAAAAACCATTTGCGTGGTAGAGCCACCCCAGGAGGTCCACCAATTGCAGGCTCTCAGAGGCAGGCGTGTTCTCCGGGTTCTCCAGGAAATGGGCTGAGATGGAGTTAGGAGGGTAAGGGGTTCTGCGGGGTAATGCCTGTGAAAGAGGAGTGAGGATGGGACGGGACAGGAAGAGTCTTGCAGGCCATGCAGACCTGACGGTCTCACCTGACTCTGCCCGGGCTCCAGAGCAAGACCGATCCCAGGAGAACCTCCACGTTTGTTGAATTCACTGGCCCTATAATTGAATGTATCAGAAAGCCTTATCCATGTTCCCTTCGAGATGGTGAGAGATCAAGGTTGTGACGGAAAATCAGGCTTGTGGAGTTGAATTTGCATGGATTAAGGAAGGTGCAAAGAATGCCACCCCCAGCAGCATCTGTAGGGAATCCCATGACTAAAGCAGGGCTCAGGTCTTGAGGCACGCTTCTGTCCATGTAGACCAGTGGAGACCTCAAGATTCGTCCTCAAGTTGATGTGAACCAGTGTTGGACTCAGCCTCTCTAGCTTCCATCCCCTCTTCCCTGTTAGGGGCCGTCCTCCATCAAAGCAGGCAGCCTGTGGCTTAGAATGTCAGGGATCTTGGGTTCAGATCCTGGCTCTGGCCCCTACCGGCTGTGTCCTACCAACGTGGGCAAATGACTTAACCTCTCTCTCTGTGCCTTACTTTCTCCTCTGTGGAGTGGAGATGCAGTCGCCCCCATGTCAGCGGCAGGGATGGCGTGGAACTTTTCATATGCAATGTTTCCTGCAGAGCCTGGAATCCAGTGAGTGCTCTGAGTTGGCACGTATAGCACTCCCACTCATGTTAGTCAGCTTAACCACTGCCAGGCTGGGCTGGGGACCTCAAGAGGCCACCATCAGTCCTGACCATGGCACTCTTATGACACATCCCCTTGGAGGACCTGTCCCCAGCAGTCTGTGTGGCAAAAGACACTCCCTTATCCCCTGCCCCCACCAACTGCAGAACCTCGGAGCAAATTCTTTTTTTTTTTTTTTTTTTTTTTTTTTTTGAGACGGAGTCTCACTCCGTCACCCAGGCTGGAGTGCAGTGGCCAGATCTCAGCTCACTGCAAGCTTCGCCTCCCGGGTTCACGGCATGCTCCTGCTTCAGCCTCCCGAGTAGCTGGGACTACAGGCGCCCGCCACCTCGCCCGGCTAGTTTTTTGCATTTTTTAGTAGAGACGGGGTTTCACCATGTTAGCCAGGATGGTCTCGATCTCCTGACCTCGTGATCCGTCTGTCTCGGCCTCCCAAAGTGCTGGGATTACAGGCTTGAGCCACCACGCCCGGCCCTCGGAACAAATTCTAGTCTGATTTTCCAGTCTGACTCACCGAGGACATTGTCCCATCTGCCGAGTGTCCTTAACGCACTCACGATCTCCACGGAGCCCCAGGGGCCTCTCCAAGGGCGAGATGGAGAGAAACAGATTGTAAGGTGCGTCCCAGCCACCTGCTCTGCAGTGGCAGCCAGGGCTCTTCTCCAGGGGCACTGCGGGTTGAGGGGCTTGCCAGAGCTGAGGGCCGGGATGTGGAGCTGAAGACATGCCCGCCATCAAAAGTCCAGATGCCCGGGCCCATCCAAGGAACTGCCCCCCAGATCTAAGTCCCTAGGTAGGGCCCAGGCCTCTGCATTTATTAACTGGCTCTTGGGTGGAGCTGGTGTACCCTGAGGCTGTCTACAGGGGTGGGGGCTAAGTCCTTCTTTGTTCCTTTGATCAGGGCCGAGGCCGGCTCGGCTCCTTAGGGCACAAGCTCCGAGTGGAAAAAAAGTGATGGCCTCACAGGGAAAGGGGCCTGGAGACCCGTCTTCCCCTTCCCCAACCCCAGCGGGAGCTGAGGGTCTCACAGACAGAAAGGAAGTCCCGTTGGGTTTGCAGTTTATTAAGATAATCAATCAATTTCTTAAGTTATTCCTTTGTTAACCGGAAAACACCTGTGGAGAGGAAATGCACTCTCTGTGTAGATACATACAAATGTATCCGTCATTTTGCCCCTCCCGGATGTGAACGGAATCTCCCCTCCTCACCTCCCCAGAGGGAGCTCAAGCCCCAGGGAACCTTCCCCTCCCTTTTTGGGGGTTACCAGGGGAGTGGCAGGGGCAGCCCCCAACTGTGGAGTGCATTCAGGTCTGAGTGGGGAGGAAGGCTCAGAGGGGCATCTCCTCGGCACCCTGCCACAGTGCCAGCTTCTGGGCTGTTTGTTCAGCGGCCTGCTGGGCTGCCCCAGGCTGGGGGCTCCCCCAGCTCCCTGTGCACACTGCCTTGTTCCAGGGAGCCCTGAGCCAAGCCTTCGTCTGGCTCATGTTCCTCCCACAACATCCCACGGGCAGGGGTGAGCCTGCTGCAGGAAGGAGTAAGGTGCTGTCATTGCAGAATCTATCACACACAGGAACGCAGGCTGAGGGCGGCAACCTGGTCCCCTCAGTGTCTCTTTACACTGACAGCTGAGCTCCGACTCCCTCCAGTTCAGACCCGACCTCACACAGGTGGCAGCATTTCCGAGAGCTTCACCGCCTCCGCTGGGCACTTGGTTTTGACATCAGGGGTGCTAGTCCTGGAGGCGGTGCGTGGACGGGTGTTAGCTGGGGACGCCCTGCAGGTGAGGCTCCAAGGCTGAGCACCCATCTTTCCATTTTGACAGGCAGTGCCCCAAATCTTCAATACTGGAGGGCATGGGACACTGGCAAGGCCATGGCTCAAAGTATTTCTAGGCCTTCCCCGCCCCCAATATAACCAACTCCAGCCCTGGCATCAGCATCCGGCCTTTGTCCAACCTCCTGGCTCAACGTCCCCCAGAGGTGGCTCAGCGTCCGCCAGAGGTGGCTCAGCGTCCGCCAGAGGTGGCGGCTCAGCCAGCCGCCAGAGGTGGCTCAGCGTCCGCCAGAGGTGGCCTTCAGACCTCTCGGTGCAACCTGCACGTGTGCGAAAGCCTGTTTTGGAAACACTCCAGGCCAGCAGCAGGGAAGAGAGGCACCCCTCTTCCCTCACACACGGCCTTGGCCACCAGCACGGAACACATGGGGCGGCAGGGCTCTCAGGGAGCGGCAGCCACTCCCACCAGCTGAGGCTGGGATGCCTCTGTCCTCGCACTGCTCTGGGCTGTTCTCTGCTTCAAGGGCACGCTATGGACACATTCTTCTCCCCTGACCCTGAAGGTGGCCACCACCTAACAGTGTGCCACTACTGCCTTGCCAGCTTAAGTGCTAAAAAAACATAGATGCTTTTATTGAGTCCTGGACACCAAAACAAGGAGACCACCACCTAGCTTGTAGGTCAGGGCAGGCAGCCGACAGCCACCTCCTTCCACATGGGTCCTTGGCCTGGCAGCCTCCCTGCCTGCCTCCTACCAGAGTGCCAGGCCGAGCTCATCCTGTCCGTCCTCCCGGCTCCTCCCCAGGGCTCCCGGCTCCTCCAGCACCCCGGGCCGGCCCCAGCCCCGTCAGAGCGTGGCAGGGCCCAGGAGGCTGGGGGCAGGGTCCTGGCACAGCTGCAGCTGCACGCTGGCGGTGAACCAGCAGCTGGGCCGGCCCAGGCTGCAGTGCAAGGTGGTCCGGAAAGTGCTCCTGGCATGCTTGGGGAAGATGATGGTGGTGCTGCGGAAACGCAGGGCACGTGGGCGTGGCTCCAGGGTCAGCTGGCTGCGGTAGTTGCGCCACGTGCAGTTGGGTGCCGCCACGATGGTCTCGCTGTAGGCTGTGACGGTGGGCACGGGCACATAGAAGACCTTGTCCTGGAAATGCTTCTCTGAGGCGTACTTGACCTCGGAGTTGCAGCTGGAAAGGACAGGAGGGAAGCGGAGTGAGCCCAGGATGGGGAGCAGCCCGATTCCCTGCCCACAGCATGGACACGAAAGGGCCCTGGGCAGACGCTCTGAAGCCTAACTGGTGTGTGTTGCTCTGAAATGTCAAGGTCAAGAAGGTCAAAGAAGGACTGAGGGACTGTCCTGGCTTCACAGAGCCTGAAGAGGCAAGACAGCTAACCGCAGTGAAGGACCTCGACTGGATGCTGAACTGGGGAGAAAAGTAAGCCGGGAAAGGACCTTATCGGGATGACGGGTGAAACTGAGCCGTGTCGTGTGGGTTAGGTGCTGGCATCACCGTGTGCGCTTCCCTGATGTTGACAACTATGCTGCTGTCACGGAAGAGGATGTCCCTGTTCTTGAGAGACACACTGAAGTATCTGGGGGCTAAAGGGCAGGACGTCACCAATCTCCCCTCAAATAGGGCAAGATATAAACAACCCGTGAATCTGTTTGAGACGCACATGCAACCTTTCAAAGAGTTTGAAATTATATCAAAATACCAAAAAGTCCCTTCAGCACCCCTGGAGGAGTCACTGACTAGCATCCCCCAGTTCCACGCCCAGAGCTTCAGGAAATCAAACTGCAAGCTCTGGGAGGGAGCGAATCCTCGCCATCGAATCCCCGAAGGTGATCACAAAAGACTTGTGACGGGATCAGAGTTCCTGAGGGTCAAGCCGTCTGTCCTCCACCCTTGCTGGGCTTCCGATGATCGAGTTTTGGCTTGCATTTTAAAAACTAGGCCGTGAAGGCTGTTTGGGGATTGAAAGATAATTTAGAAGTGGACCCGTTTGTCTTCTGGGACCATTGCATGGCTGGCAGGGGCAGGAGGCAGTAGGTCTCAGATGCTTGGCTGGCCCCACTCGACAGGGACAAGCGGATGGAGAGAGCCCCATAGATATGTGGGAAAAATCACAGATCCCACAGTCCACCTTCAGGAAGCCTGAGCCCCAGCAGCTTCAGAAGAGGGCAAATTGACGTGGGATGTTCCCAAGCAGGGGTGCCTTAATTCAATTCACATGCCACCTAAGATGTCGTGTGCCTGGGAGGGCACCCAGTACACTTACAGTGCAGTAGCTCAGGGGTGGCCTCAAGAACCTAAGTTACAGTCACAAAGAACATGGAGCAGCTGAGTGTCCCCTAACTCTTGGACAACAGAGTGAAAAGGGGGCCTGAGTTGCCGGAATGGTTTGGTTGTGAATACCTAACAATCTGGCAGGGGCTGGGCGCAGTGACTCGCACCTGTAATCCCAGCATTTTAGGAGGCTGAGGCAGGAGGATCACTTGAGCCCAGGAGCTGGAGACCAGCCTGGGCAACATAGTGAGACCCCATCACTGCAAAAAAATACAAAAATTAGCCGGGCATGGGGGTGCACACCTGTAGTCTCAGCTACTCAGGAGGCTGAGTTAGGAGGATTGCTTAAGCCCAGGAGGTTGAGGGTGCAGTGAGCCATGATCCCACCACTGCACTTCAGCCTAGGTGACACTGTGAGAGCCCATCTTAAAAAAAAAAAAAAAAGTCTGGCAGGAGAAGGGAGGGAGAGTTAGGGTGCACAAGTGGTTATGTTTATATATTTTCCAATTTTTCTGAGAGGTTGGATTTAAAATAAAAGCCTGTTGGAGCAGACGGTAAATAGGGATATGGGAAATGGCTGAATAGGCCTGGGGTGGGGGCATGGGGTGGATACAGGGGGTCCCTTGGGGTCAGAGTCTCTTAAAATCAGTTTTGTCTCTGGCTAAGACACGGCCATCCCCAGAAGGCAGCACCCAGAGGGGCCGCCTCAAGGGTAGGGAGCCTCCTGAGCCCCCAGCCTGGCCTAGTCCCCACCCCCATCCCACAAGAGAGTCAGGACCAGCACCCAATCCCCCGCCCCCTCCTCCCACACAGAGCCCAGCGGCCCACTCACCGGATCTCATGCGTGGGTTCCGGGTTCACCTTGATGCTCTCCCCAAAGAACACCGGCAGCATGCGGGGCCTCATCTCCGGCGCCGGGGGATTCGGGAGTTGGGAGGAGGGCTGTGGGGAGAGCCAGGGACACAAGGTTATGCAGCCCCTTGTCGCAGTGGCCTCAGCTCCCTGCTGGGCACATAGGATCACCTGACACCCTCTGGCCCTGGCTTGGTCTGGAAGCTGTTTCGTGGGGCCCATCAGGAAGCCCACCCCAGAGCTCCTCCGTGGGATCCAGGCATTCAGGGGTCTGCCCAGTCCCCACCACCAGCCTGGCTCCCGGCTCCCAGATCTCAACAACGGGTGTGGTCACGGCCTCTCACTGCAACCTCCAGGCCACACCCACCCCGGAGCCCAGCTCAGAGCCCTGGAGAACTGGGATCCCTCTGTGCTCTTTGCCGGGCTGAAACCATACTCGGCCTGGAGAAAGGGTTCCGAGCCCTTCTTGATGTCACCCAAGGCTCAGGTAACCTCCAGAGGGGTAGAGACCCCACCACATCTGTGTCTGTGGCACACCTGCCAGGGAGGGACACACAGGTGGGAGCTGGCCAGGCCTGCAGAGGGGCACAGGAAGCCGATCAGAATGGCAGATGTCTGCAGGAGAGCAGGGCGGTCCTAGCCAGCATCCACATCTTCTAGAAATGGCACCACATCTCCCTGAAGACAAGGACTGGATTGGACATGGGCGTGTAACCCACACTGGGCCAATGAGAGCTACCCAGGTTCTCCTTCAGAGCTGTGGAGACAGCCCCCCTGTGGGGGCTAAGAATGTGGGGCGGGGGTTTGGAAACCATGTGGAAATGGAGCTACACTGAGGAGAGCAGGAGTCAAAGACGGTGAAATATCAAGTCTTTCCAACATTGTTCAAATGCCTGGATCAAGCCACACCTGAAACTGTCCCTCAGTTGTGAGCACCAGCAAATCCATTTTGAGGGAGGCTTCAGACCATTTGAGCTGCCTTTCTGTCACTTGCAGCGGGAAGAATCTTGGCAAGGTGGGGAAAGAGAGTTCCATGGGAAAAGAAGCCACCCACAGTCCCTTCAGAAAGAGCCCCTTCAGACAGACACAAAGAACGCACTCTCTGTTCCCCTCCCAAATCCACCCCACAGCTCCACGCTGGGAAGTTCTTTCTCCAGTCTGTTTTAAAGTCTGTCCCAAAATTCCACTCCCTGTGGAAGCAAAGACCATCAGGGCCATGGCCCTGCCCAATGCTCCTCACAGGAAGTGGCCTAAGGACCCCCACCCCATCCTGCTCCTCACAGGAAGTGGCCTAAGAACTCCTACCCCATCCTGCTCCTCACAGGAAGTGGCCTAGGAACCCCTACCCCATCCTGCTCCTCACAGGAAGTGGCCTAGGAACCCCTACCCCATCCTGCTCCTCACAGGAAGTGGCCTAAGGACCCCTACCCCATTCTGCTCCTCACAGGAAGTGGCCTAGGAACCCCTACCCCATCCTGCTCCTCACAGGAAGTGGCCTAGGGACCCCTACCCCATCCTGCTCCTCACAGGAAGTGGCCTAGGGACCCCCACCCCATCCTGCTCCTCACAGGAAGTGGCCTAAGGACCCCCACCCCATCCTGCTCCTCACAGGAAGTGGCCTAAGAACCCCTACCCCATCCTGTGGCCCACCTCCCCCTCCCCCCAGCTCAGCCGCTGGTTCAGCCCCAAACTGATTCTGAAAACACAGACCTCTGGCCTCTGCTGCCTCTCCTCATGCCAACGCGGTGACACTTCTGCCCTCCCCTACCCTACTCTTCCCTCCTGAACTGTTCCCTGCCAGACTCATCCTCACAGGCCTTTCCCCTCTTCCACCTACCCAAGAAAACCCTGTCCATCTACACGTGGGGGTCCTTCCGGGCCAGCCCAGCAAAGCGAGTGTCTTGAAGTAGAAGTTTCACTTAGGGCAGGGCCAGGAGGCTCTGCTTCTAAAGCCTTTTTTTTTTTTTTTTTTTTTTTGAGACAGGGTCTCTTTCTGTCACCCAAGTGCGAGTGCAGTGGTACAATCACGGCTCACTGCAGCCCTGACCTCCTGGGCTCAGGCGATCCTCCCACCTCAGCCTCCCACACAGCTGGCACTACAGGTGCATGCCACCATGCCCCAGCCAATTTAAAAAACAGTTTTTGCAGAGACAGGATCTCACTATGTTGCCCAGGCTGATCTCAAATTCCTGGGCTCAAGTGATCCTCCTTACCTTGGCCTCCCAAAGAGCTGGAACTGCAGGCGTGAGCCACCACGCCTGGCCCCTAAAGCCTTTTAAGGCAGCCCTAGATGTTCTCCTTGAGGTGTTGCTGTGACACTCAAGTCACGGCCAACCCGTGAGGAACACATAGTAAGAGCCAGAAAGAAGCCCTTGCTCTTCGATGCCATTGAGATTGGGGATGTTTGTTACGAGGCATTCCCCCGCCTGACCAGCCTATGCTGGGATAACAGGGGGCCTGGCAAGGCCACTCCCTAGGACCTGTGCTGGAACTACATGTGCCCGCATCAAGGGCTCAGGGAGGTGAAGGGCAGGGCTTTAAATAACCCGCCTATTTTTCAGATAGCTTGTTCATCACTGAGGTTATGAATCATAGACCCAGAGCATATGAATAGCATAGCTTTGGAGAAAGCATGAGTGTAGATTCGAAGAGATGCTCGCGGCCATGGCAGAACGTCTTCCATTCAGCTCACTCACTGCGCACCTACTGTGTGCCGGCACTGCGCTCTGAACTGCTGCTACAGTGGTAAACAGAGAGGGTCTCCTCACCTCATCAGAGATTGCTGCCTGAATCCCCTACTACTCTCACCAACGCCCCACCAATGGACTAAGATGCCAACTGTCGGGAGGGCTGTGATCGTCAGGGTGATGAGGGCACGAGAAGGGTTTGACCACCAGGTAATCAGGGAGGGCTTCCCTGTGCAGTGCCACCTGGGACGTGATTTGAGGGGTGAAGCCAAGTTCACTGTGGCCCCAGGGCCCACAGGTCCTGGCGCCCCCCACATTGGGCACCAGGGCCACACAGCCACAAACAGCACCCAGGACACCCACACGCCCTCAGCCCTGCCTCCCCCTGGCATGCAGGCCACCCTGGGACCCTGTTCTAGGGCTTGTAATACAGAGGCCACTAGCCACATGGGGCTGTTCAACTTAAATTCATTACAATTCAGCAGTCCTCGTTACATTCCTCAGTCACACCCGCTACACACTGGCAGCTGTCGCACTGGCCGGGGCAGATCCAGAACACGCTCACGGTCTCAGCAAGCACCCTGCACAGGCTGCCCTAGCGGGATGCAGGCTATGGGTGAGGTTTCAACCGGCAGCCAGCCCCAGCCCCAGCCCCAAATGACCACTGCATGCTGTGTGCAGAGGCCCTCAAAGTAAAGGCCCCCAAGATGGCCCCATCAATGGCTCTGCTCTCCTCAGAGTCACTCAGGCCGCTGGCTGGGCAGGTCCTGGGTTTGCCCCTGGCTCTGTCTGCCTGTGTCAAAATGGGGAGGGCTGGAGGTGCCTGGGGTAGAGGCAGGGACCCAAGGGAGGTCACAGTCTGGTCTCAAACATGCAGACCCTCTCCCTGGGAGATGGGGCATGGCCCAGTGTGGCCAGGACGAGATGGACCCACAGAGGTCCTTGAGAGAAGCAGCGAGGGTAAAGGCATGGACACCAAAAACACAGCCAGAGGTAGCTTCCCAAGGACAAGGGCAGTGTGGGTCAAATAGGGTGCCCCCAAAACCCCATGTCCACACAGACCCTGTGAATGGGATCTTATTTGGAATAGGGCCTTTGCAGATGGAATTGAGGCTCCTGAGATGAGGTCATCTCGGAGGAGGGTGGGCCCTAAAGTCAATGACTGGTGTCCCTACAAGAGTGGACACAGGATGGAGGCGGTGGCTCACGCCTATAATCCTCTGGGAGGCCAAGGTGGGTGGATCATCTGAGGTCAGGAGTTCGAGACTAGCCTGGCCAACACAGTGAAACCCCGTCTCTACTAAAAATACAAAAATTAGCCAGGCGTGGTGGCTCACACCTGTAATCCCAGCTACTAGGGAGGCTGAGGCAGGGGAATCGCCTGAGCCCAGGAGGCAGAGGTTGCAGTGTGACGAGATCGCACCATTGCACTCCAGCCTGGGCAATGGAGCGAGATTCTGTTTAAAAAATAAAAATAAAAAGCGGATGCGGATGCACAGGGACAATGTGGAGGCAGGGATGGCAGGGGCGCAACCACAAGTCAAGGAGCACCTGGAGCCACCAGGAGCCAGAGAGGCGGGAAGGAGCCTTCCCTGGGGCCCTCTGAAGCGGTGTGGCCCTGCCACACCTGGATTGGAACTCTGGCCTCCAGAACTGTGTGAGAATAGAGTTCTATTGTCTCAAACCCCCCAGTTTGTGGCAGGTTTTTTTTGTTGTTTTTTTGTTTTGTTTTGTTTTTGTTTTTTTACAGCAGCTCTAGGAAGAGCACACAAAAAGGCCACATGCTAAAAATCAAGACTGGAGCGAACCCTGGGGCCTGTGCCTCCCAGCCCTCCATGAAGGCGCCGGGGCTGGCTGAGACCACCCGTGGGTCCCCGGCCTGGCCTCCTCCCATCTTGATCAGGGACTGGGGATGGCTTGTGAAACCAGTTTATCGGTGGAGTCCTCCCAGGGGAATGGGAGAGAGGGGCCAAGCAGGTGTCAACTAGGCAAGGCGGGGGCACAGCCGTGACCAGCTGGGGCCTGTCACACCAGGGCGCAGGAGTGTGGCTGCCCCAGCACTGGTCCCATCTGGGACAGCGGGCTGCTGGCCACTGCTGCCCCACTCCTGGGGGTGGAGTCACCTTCTGGGGGAAGAAAATCCCTTTCCCCCAAGGACGGGTCTCTAGGAAATGGGAGAGCTGCCAGCCGTGGGCAGCCGGGGTTCATGGCCACTGGGGACTGAGGCAGTGAGGCACCGTGCACAGCGGCCGTGACACCTCCCTGACCACTGCCACTGGGACATGGCACTTAGCAGGTTTGCTTACGCATTGATTTCTCGGTTTGCAGCCCTCTCCCTGCTCTCTGGCCCTACCTAGATTATGATGCCCCCGTGGATGGGGAGGCACGGTCTCCATCCCCTAC